TATACCCTGTCTAAGTGCATCGTATCGGATATCGTCTGTTAATGCAAAAATACCATTTTCGTATTAGAACAATGTTTCCCCGACACCTGTTAAATCTTTTAAAGGAGCTAAATCGCTAATATTTAGGGACCTAGAAATTGACACAAATTGGTCGCAACGAATACAATAATGTAATATTAATGTATATAAATTGATTTACATTCAATCGTTTCTGTTTTTACTGTAATTTCTAATCAGTTAGATTCGGCGAAATACGCCAGTATTCTCAATCGAATTTCAATCTCTAGCGACTGGTTATTCCAGCCTACGCCGATAGTATTTATTGGGCATGCTCTCCAGATAAGAATATAGCGTCACCTTTTGACATGACTTGTGGAATATGCCTAGCCTCGTTTTTCGAGTCCCTTATTTCAAATAGCGCTGAAACGTATTATGGTACACGATTCGTGTACCAATTGTAAAATGTTTATTTTGTCTTAAATATTGGATATCAGAAGGTCATCTTTTCCCGGTAAGATCACAACATCAATGTTGATTTAAACCGACAAATAAATCGTGTTTTTAATGTCGAAGATTTTGGATGATATTGAGTTAGAGACTTAGCTACTTTAAATGTTCATGATTACCTTTCCTGTATATGTAATAAATCATATAAAATGTTCTACTGATTTCTTGAAATGTCTAAAAATGTGTATGTATAGCGTTATTCTTCGAGTTCCTTGTTACAAATTGCGCTGAAACGCATTCTGGTACACGATTCGTTTACCAATAGTAAAATGGGGTTTTTTTGTCTTAAATATTGGATATCAGAAGCCCATCTTTTCCCGGTAAAACCACAACATCAATATTGATTTGTGTTTTAAATATTGAAGACTGTGAATGATACTGAGTTAAAGACTTAGCTACTTTAAGTTGTGTGCAATGGAAAACGAAATGAAATGGAGTTTAACGTCTGCTTTCCTGTGCAGAGTAGGCTAATGGTGACGTGCATGCTCGGACAGCGGCGCTACCTTCTACTCTTATTACTAATTCCATCTGCCAAGGCATCTTTACGTGCACGCGTGGTTTTCAATTGTCAGTGGTGCGGGGCTGGGCTTAGCAAGGAACAGTGTCTAGTCGTTCAGAGGTCTAAAGCTCGGGGTCCCGTATACACGTTGACGTGCACGTAAAAGAACCTTTGACAGTTGGTATTCGAAATAAGCGTAGGCCGTAGCACACTGTGTGGTGTATACCCGCCTTTATTAGCTCGGTGGATAAGTGGGTAAGGCGCTGGTTCGCTAGCCTGGAGGTCGGGTGTTCGATCCCTGCATTGGCCGAGAAAGTTCATCTCGTTTTTCCGGCGTGGTTTCCCCTTGTCAGTGATGCAGAACGGAGGGCCTGACAAGGACAGCTGCTTAGTCGTTCGGATGGGACGAAAAACCGAGGTCCCGTGTACACATTGGCGTGCACGTAAAAGATCCCTTGGCAGTTGGAATTCGATATAAGAGTAGGCCGTAGCGCCGCTGCCCGGGCAAAATTTCCCTCATAGCACACTGTATGGCGTATGCCCGTCTTCAATTAGCCCAGGTTAGGTGCAGAAGAGTAGGACGTTAAACCCCATTTCATTTCATTTCATTTCATTTCTGAGCTCTTCCATATTTTGACTGAAGTCGCCCAGGGGCGACTACTCGCAGATAGTTGTTACCAGGATACGACACATCAAATTTATAGAGCATCTCTTTGTACATCAGACTTAATATCAATTTCAGCATTTCATTTTACATTGATTAAACTGATTTGTTTCTAACTCAGTAAGGGTTTCATAGAATTGAAATGAAATGGGGGATTTAATGTCCTATTCGTCTGCATCAACCGGCTTAATGAAGACAGTTATAGCCTACTGGGAGTAATTTTTCTGTTCCTTCTCAATTTGATAACAAAATCAGAATTTTAACAATTCAATAACGCCGATTGCTGAGAAAATTTACCTCATAGCACACTGCTATACTTTTCTGCACCGATCGAGCCAATCGTGCTGTGTGGTATAATGGTAAATCTATTTGTTAAGATCAGCTCAATTTTTGTCACGGTCGCTGAGATGTAAATAAGGTTAGGGCACGTGATTGTTGGCGGGATTGTGGGTTAGGGTTAGGGTAATCATTGGGGCTAGGTCCAGGGTTGGGATTAGCGCTAGCTCTGTTTACATCTCGTGACCCATATCGAAAAATTGAGCTGGCCTTATCATTTAGCACTAACCCGAAATCGTGACATGATAGCGGCGCTACGGTTGGCTATTTGGTTTTATTTACAACATTACGTCGATCAATTGAGACTAATGCACGGTTATAGACATAGTGTGTGCTATGATTCGAAGGGCAGTATTGCTGCTGGGCCCGTAGCCATCGGATGGCTTAGCCCCCCCCCCCCCCCCAAAAAAAAAATCCAAATTATCCCCACCACCAATAATGATTTTTTTTTAGGAGTGTTCAAATTGGTAGGCGATCCGTAGGCTCGTAGTACGGTCCACCGAGGCCTGCCTGTCATCATCACCTACTGATCCTCTTGTCTTGGTACCATACGTGCGTTGTACATAACTACTGTGACAGGAAGAAGAAATAGTTCACAATTAGCTCGAGCTCTTGATGGTACCAGAGGCTGCATAAATTATCGCCATTTTCCTGGGGATCTGCCCCTTTATACCCGGGTTACGGGTTTAAAGAGGCCCTGGTTTATTTGTTCGCCTACAAGGCGCCGGTTCAAATGTTTGCATTTGCCTACAACCGATGTAAGCTGCCTACGGATGCCTATTGTGTCTAACATCAGGTGCCTATTGTGCAGTCTATACTGTAATTCTATGAATAGAATAATAGAATACCTATAGTTCACTTGAAATTTGATACTACAGCTGTATTACCTGGCCTAAATCTCCGAGTAAATCAAAAGACACTCTCTACTACCCTCAAGATGATATCGGCGGGAGGAGTCGAAGAAGGAAATTTCAGAAAATTCAGCCATAAAACCCTGTCTGGGGCACTTCAATTTGAGGCCCAGGAATGCACTCAGATGCGAGGAGAGAGCACCAAATTTTTAAAATTTTCTGGTGGAGGAGACCAAGCAAGGCTCGTGCCATCGGGGCTTCGCGGTGGCTTAGCCGGCCACCTCATCAGCCTCTCCAAAATATTCCATAGTCATGGTGTGTTCTATGATGTGGAGGGATATATATTAGTTATTTCAATAATTCGCTTGTGCGTAGGTGTCTTTAGTGGTGCAAATCCCGCTTCTAGTCTGATTTGTAAAATAGTGTGTTTTACTAAAAGTATATACAGACTGTCGTGTTTGTGACCAACACTCGTTTAAATCTCTCTTGAAGTGAATTGTGACCAACCCGCGTTTAAATCTCTCTTGAAATGAACTGTGACCATCCCGCGTTTAAATCTCTCGTGAAGTCTGATTTGTAAAATAATGTGTTTTACTAAAAACATTTACAGACTATGTCGTGTTTGTGACCAACACTCGTTTAAATCTCTCTTGAAGTGAATTGTGACCAACTCGCGTTTAAATCTCTCTTGAAATGAACTGTGACCAACCTGCGTTTAAATCTCTCTTGAAGTCTGATTTGTAAAATAGTGTGTTTTACTAAATAACATTTACTGACTATGTCGTGTTTGTGACCAACACACGTTTAAATCTCTCTTGAAGTGAATTGTGACCAACTCGCGTTTAAAATCTCTCTTGAAATGAACTGTGACCATTCTGCGTTTAAATCTCTCTTGAAGTCTGATTTGTAAAATAGTGTGTTTTCTAAAAACATTTACAGACTATGTCGTGTTTGTGTCCAACACTCGTTTAAAGCGATAATTTCATAAGTCAAAACATAATTATTTCAATGTCTTTTGCTCAATAGGTTGTCAAATCACTATTATACGATCATGGGTATTATTCTCCCTCTTAAAAATCCTTTGACCCCATAAATAATAACACAATTACCTCACTTGTTTTTCTATCCCCCCCACCCCATGGAATAGCTATCTTCAAATGTTGGAATTTGAAGTTGAAAATGATTTTTTGCCAATTTCTCAACTGGCAATAGTGAATTATAGGATTAATAGGATTATTCTTTAACAAGGTAGGACTGTTTATAGATACCATCTATTTTAAGGCTTTATTTTAATAAATTTTAAAAATATAACTTAAAAATATGAAATTGCAACTTTAAATCTCTCTTGAAGTGAATTGTATAATAATCTGTGTACATATAAAAAACAAGTGACGTAATTTATATAGGATTTATTTGAGTTGTTGCAAGCGGAGAAACAATAATATACGTGTCAAAGCAAAAGACAAATTACATTTATAAAGAGATGATAAAGGGCAACCATGGTTTTAAATTGAAAAAAGCCAAGAATCACAATAAAAGGATATAATGCTAACTGGTTTATCGCCAGCATAAAAGGGAATCACAATCAATAAGCGAGAATAACTGATTTATCGCTAAAATAAACGGAAATTACAAGTAGAAATCACAATAAATATATGAGAAATAAACCTATTTTATAGCTAGTTTATCGCCTGCTAAACCAATATTCTTTTGATCAAATTGATTGTACATTTTGTTCGATTTTCACTGGGTCAGAACAACAGTCATACAAGAGTTATTCCCCTTTTGATTTAGCGCCCGCTTTCTATAGTTTTTTTCTCCAATTTCTCAAAGCTATCCCACTTTAAGCTATATATACATATATAATATATGGTTTTATCAACAATGGACGCGGGAATGAAGATCACCATGTACTATCAAGAGAAGATTGTTGAACAAGGAATTAGGTATGTCTCCAATCTTTCCCACCCTGGGGTCATTGTAAAAATGTGCGTCAGTGAAAATAAAGACAGCCAAATACTCGTCAGATTAACCCTATACACTCATCCCTGTTAAAAAATCGATCAATTGTTTTATTATTGGTCTTTATTCTTACACAAGAGCGGTCGTGAGTAAATATAATGGGGGGTGAGGTAGGGTTAAGATGGCGCCTGTTAAAATGGCGCTTGCTAAAGACGGCGCATGTTAGACCTTTTAAAGTATTAAATTTCGAAAGTTGCAAATCAGTCCTGGTGGATTTCTTAAAAGTCCCTTGAGTCCTGCGAGTGGGAAAAGGTTGGAAACCATTAGCCTACGATGTACTTAGTGGTGGTTTGGTGTCCACACTGTCACGTACGTCATTTCCGTTGTCGATAAACACAGTTAAAATTGTCTTAAGACTAGCATGAAGTGTCGAAGAAGCCATTATCAATGCGCACGCACACACACACTATTTATCTATCTATATATAAATATATATTTGTTTATATCACATATTCTTCATCTCGTCCTCGTGCATCACCACGTCTCGCAGCTCCCCAAACCGACAGAGCCGTGTCGCTGTATTTCAAAGGTTCTGTATCATCAGAGGTGGCCTCGATCGCGCGTAATTCACGGTTGTGATCGATAATATAGTCCAACTTAGTAAAACAAACACAAGGCAAACAGCTTCTAATATCGCTGTACGCCAACCACAGGAAGGGAAAAAAGGAGATCTTCACAATGCGAACCCAAAGCGCAATCTCAACGCCTTTTAGACCGATACAGAAAGGTGCCGTGCAGGACAGAGTGGCGTTGAGCATGCCCACAACGAAGGAAGGGACTTCCATGATAAGTGAGAACACGGTGACGAGAGAGATGACCATAACGGCTTCTCTCTTTAACAGGATCAACACTTTCTCCAGCGGTTTCAATTCGTTCTTTCTAACATGGTACACGCCCGTCGACAAGGCTACAGGAACGATGAGCAAACCAGGGAATATGTAACTCATGACTTGAGCCGCTATGAAATAGTTCTTATCACCCATGTAGACGCATTCTCGCTCGGGGTCGGCTTCTCCCATCCCCACGTAGAAAAGCGGGAGAATGATGATGACTCCGATAATCCAGGGTGCCAAGAAGAGAATTATGGTCAAACCCCATCTTACCGGGGTAGTGAATGATCCGTCCTTTATCACAAATATACTTCGTTCAATGACCAGACTCAGTACCGTTAAAAGGAATACAAACACGTGCAGATAATCGTTGAAGAGCTTCAGCGCAATTCGTAATGGACAAGGGAGATAAGCGTTGATTTGAAGATGCACCAAAAAGGGCACGATAAAAAGTCCCACCATCAAATTTGTCAACGAAATATTTACGATTAAGATATTCTTGGGATTTTTACGAAGCCTGTTGCAACATAAAATGAAGCCTATCAAAGCAAGATGGCTGCCGAGCGTCCATATTGTCAAACACAACTGACCAATATTGGTGTTACTGAAATGGTGGACATCTGTCGGGATGACAGATTTATCATAAACACCGTCATCCATCTGAAATAAACAATAATAGTTGGCATTAAAACAATAATAGGTTAGTATTCAAAGAATTTGTAACAAAAACCAAGGTTAAAGGTCAACAACACAAACTATCTACGTCATCAGGAGTTTGTATCGTTGACAAAGTTAGGTGGATAAACATAAACCACTTCCTACATGATACTCAAATTAAATGAAACGCTTATGATGACGGATGAAGTAAAAGATACTCTAGACCATGGTCCAAGCCGCGTTTACGTATTGTCAGTGATGTACAACGGATGAGCTACTAGTTTTTCAGATGGGATAAATAACTTAGCCGCGCGTACACGAGACAGAGAGAATTGGGGTTTAACGTCCACGCAACACAAACCAAGTCATTTCGAGACTAGCATATGGTTCAATTTTATTTCAATAATTCGCTTGCGGGTAGGAGTCTTTAGCAGTGAAAGGAAACGGGAGGGGCAGGTGAAAACCTACGAGGAAAGGACTGTATTTTTTTATATTTTGTTAATAATAATACATCAGTTTTAAGTGAAGACATTTTACATTTTCTTGTCAATATTCGATCCCTGCATTGGCCGAGAAAGTTCATCCAGATTTTCCGGCGTGGTTCCCCCTTGTCAGTGATGCAGGTCGGAGGGCCTGACAAGGACAGCTGTCTAGTCGTTCGGATGGGACGAAAAACCGAGGTCCCGTGTACACATTGGCGTGCACGTAAAAGATCCCTTGACAGTTGGAATTCGATATAAGAGTAGGCCGTAGTGCCGCTGTCCTGGCAAAATTTCCCTCATAGCACACTGTATCCCGTATGCCCGTATTCATTAGCCCAGTTCGGAGCTAACAGTAGGACGTTAAACCCATTTCATTTCATTTCTTGTCAACAATAACATGTCAGTTTAATGCCCAGAGAGAAACAAGGTACACTATAGTTTGATCAATCGGTGTCAGTAACCTTAAAATATAATATATATCACACTGGTTTCCATCCTTTCAACAAAATACATCAAAAAGTATATTAAACATTTATAAACAATGTCATGCACATTGAAAAAAATTACAAGGTGTGGGCTATGGCTTGTTTGATCGACGTCAATATTTCTTAAAAAATTAATATATACATGTATATACATATAATCGAAACATCAAATATACCATGACAGATTATAATTATATGATATAAAAACAAGCTCGAAGTTTATAGAAAATTACTTCATATATCCCTTCAAACATATTTATTGTTACCCACGATACTAATAGCTGAAGGCCTGAAGACCTGAAGGCAGGTGTTTCACAGTGGTTGTTTTCAAATCCATTATAGGCCCATATAGTACTTGAAATACAATATTGTTTAGACCAAGTCAATCATAATTAGAAAACCTCTAAATAATAATAAATGAAAAAAAAATATGTTACTTGTTTTAGATAAAGTCTATATTAAACAGTTTCCAATAAACATGTATATTATTAACCTGGCATAATGAGAAAAACTCAAAATAATAATAAATGAAAAAAAAATATGTTACTTGTTTCGGATAAAGACTATATTAAAGAGTTTCCAACAAACAGGTATATTATTAACCTGGAATAGCATTAAGTGTTTATTAAATTCCTTTATTAAAGTCAGTTAAGCTGTTTAACGGGTGTTAACCCCAGGTCAAAGTCTATAGAGTTTATGAATGTATATAATATATAAGTATATTTAATACATGTATAGAAAAGGGTTAATTAAGAGTTAAAGAACTGTGTAATATATTATATATTCAGTCAAACTAATCAATCAAACACACGTCAATACCTGTATGTAAAGATCAATCACCTGGGTGACTCATCCGGATTATTGCAAATAGATATTTCAAAGCATTCAATTTCAATGTTCATTACATTCGAATAGCATAACAAATTTCATAGCGGAGAAAACCCTCAGATTTTTATAATCAATTCGATCCTTGCCATTGAAACCGTTCTGTCGTTTATAAATGCACCTTGTTTAATATGGTTTTCGTTTTTGGGTTTTAACGGTCCTGATGTTCTGCATTAACCATGCTAATATGGGATTTAACGTCTTACTGTTGAGCATTAACCACAGGCCCGTAACTATCCCCCCCCCCCCCCCCCGTGAAAAAAATTGTCGACCATTAAAAAAATAGATATACATTGTCCGTCAATTTTACAGCCCCCTTGAGAACACTTCTCAACCCCTTCGTTGCTCTGATATGGGGTTAAACGTCCTGCTGTTCAGCATCAACCATGCTAATGATATGGGGTTTAACGTCCGACTGTTCAGCATCAACCATGATAATGAAGGCCGGCAAACCGGGAGTAATTTTTCTTTTTCTTCTATACTTGATAACAAATACAGACTTGATTAAAGAGCAAACTTTCCCTTATAGTCTTATAGTACACTGCATGGCGTATACCAGTCTTTATTATCCCGGTTGGTGCAACAAAGTAGGACCTCAAACCCCATTTTATTGCATTCAGTAAAAAAAAAATAGTGTTAGTCATTGACAGAAGATCATAATATGCAACTCCCTAATTTAACTTTAATCGGATGGGACGAAAAACTGAGGCCACGCGTACACATTGACATACACGTAAAAGATCCCTTGACAGTTGGAATTCGATATAAGAGATGGCCGTAGCGCCGGTGTCCGGGCAAATTTTTCCAAATAGTACACTGTATGGCGTATGCCCGTCTTCATTAGCTCAGTTCGGAGCAAAACAGTAGGACTTTAAACCCTAGATAACAAACCTCATCTCTCAACCCTCCGTGTTTCGAGATAAGACATGGTGCTATATAGTTCCACGTAGCAAAGCCCAACGCAAATCACATCGGGCCCCAGTTAGCAAAATTGACAATATTTTTCATCAAAACAACGATTGATTATTGTTATTTACAATATTTCTGCTACATCTAACTACAACTAAGCATATAATACTACCTGAAACGGGTATAAATAATCGTATTTGAAATCGAGGCGTTAATTAAGCCGTTACTAAGAACGTCATTTTTAAACGGACGATGTATGACGGTGTATGTCGCATAAAAGCAACGCTTCGTTAATTTAAACGCGAATATTTGGAGTTTGGCGATAGTTGTGCCACTACATTGGCCTCTGTAAGTTTAATTAGTCATAATAGTATAAAATTATTTTATTTTTAAGATGTTACATGCATTAATAAAGAAACTGAGTTTGTCACTTGGAACTAAAAGCACCCAATCGTAGCTAAAAACAAGCACACGATATAGCTAGTTAAACCACATTTCACTTTAATTACATTTCTCAGAATGTTTGTCGTGTAGTCAAGTGCGTTAGATCGTAAGGTCTGTCATTGAGCCAAGTGACGTGGTTTTAATTCCCTGCTTGTACGTGACAAGGAGAAGAGTCACCCGTCCAATCTCGTTGATTTTCTGGGGATTTCTTTATTCACTGATCGAATATTCGAACATAATAATTTGTAAACAACATGCATATACACTCTTTAATCACAGACTATTGCTTTGATGTAGATCTAACATGATTGTAAAAGCTCCGGTCTACTTAATGCTTATTCATTAATAAACGACTCAAGAGAAATAAAATAAAACCGCGATATCTTATGATCTCTATTCACTTAAACATGAATCAAATTTCTCCTACGAACTTTATTTTCCGAAGGGATTAAGTTTCATAATCCCTGCAGATTATCTTGCTAAAGGTATAAACTGTTAAATTAAAGGTAAAGGCAGATTAACCTCGTTTTATTTGACTGAACATCATTTTTGGATATTTTATGGGTTAGTATTTTGTTTGAGGTTTGGGTTTGGTTTTTATCTATTTTTCTGGGTGTTTTTTTTTCTAAAGAGTGTATTATGTTAATCAAAAAGGAGACGAATCTTAAAAGCCTTTGGCTTATAAAATTTTTTTTGAATCCTCACTTTTTGACAAGGTGTGTATTTAACATCAATCTTATCTGAATAACTTGTTGTTTAAATCAACGGTAAAAGCCGATTTCATTTGATTGATCATCGTTCATATTATCTCATAGGTACTTTATGGGTTTGGTTGTTGGGTTTTTTTGTCTGCATTGATTTTAATAAAAGTGTTTTCTCTATCTAACAAAAATTGTTTAAAATCAATGACATTTAGTAACTGAACAGGAAAGACACGGGTCACAATTCTACAGATTACAAATACTGTTGATTACTGAGCAATCTGTTTAAAATACAGATCTTTATTTCGTTTCGTTTTTTTTATATACTACAAGTAAAACGAAATTTTGAACTATAAAAAACGAAACGAATAGGATCTGTGTTTTAATCAAATTGATTACTGAGCGGCGTTCCACTAGACTTCTCTAGTCTTTATTAATTACCATTAACAGTAGGGGGGGGGGGGGGTCACGGTGGCCAAGTGCTTAAGGCTAGCCTGGAGGTCGGGTGTTCGATCCCTGCAGTGGTGAAGGACGGAAGACCTGACAAGGACATATTCGCGTGCACGTAAAAGATCCCTTGCATTTGGTCTTCGATATAAGAGTAGGCCATAGTGCAAAATTTCTCTCATAGCACTCTGTATGGAATATGCCCGTCTTTCATTCCATTTCCATAAAGAGTACATATATTACATGTCTCGTGCGGTTATTTTCACGATCAAAAAGTCGGGGTTTAGATTAGAGATTTAAGATTATTAAAGGGTCAATGGCGTCTATTAAGGGATTAACCATAACTTGCCCGATTATATCAAACCTGTAGACTATATTAAAACAATAATAAATCTATACAAGTCAAAATAATTTGCTGCCATTATTTAGCCTTTAATCCGACTAATTGTTGAATACATTAACGATACATTATGGGAGATTCGATAACAAGTTCGCAGTTCTCACTATAATAGTTAAAATCTAGATAATGTAAAGGCAATTTGTTGAAAATTTCATTCATATTGATCCACTATGAACCGAGAACTAAGCGTTTGAAATTTCTGCCTAGCCTCCATCATCATTACTAAAGTCTGTACGATAAACAGCATAGTCTCGATTATACATTTAATCGTTAAATCGTGAAGGAAAGTTATGCAGTAAATCGGCTCATAATCCACTTAAGATCGCAGGCTAGCGATGCCATCGAGAGTTGATTATGGTCTGGATAGGTTGATTAATGTCTAATTAATAAATTAGATAACATTTCAGGCCGAAAGAAAGACCTGCAATAGACAAATTTAGTTCTTGCATAATGTATGTTTAAATTAGAAACTCTAACAGTTTATAGACTCCGCCACTAGTGCTATATTCTTCAATATTACCTATTGTATATCTTTCCATAACGTTACTGAATGTAGATGTAAACATCAGATTGGTAGAAAATCAATTTAAGAATCGGAGTTTTCAAACGCTTTATTCAAAGTGCCGTTTAGTACTTTCCGAAGAACTCTGCACATTTATCTTCAATTTAAAGGCGAGTCTTAAAGTTGTTCCTATGCCACGCCGGTGTTTGCACACCGATATAAGTACATGTTTAACTAGACCCAGGTATATATACCTACATTTTACCTATAAAATATTTATAACCCAGGGCTATACTGTGTTATATATGGAGCTATATACGGGTACTTGTGTATATCTATATAAACATACCAGTTTAAATGACAGATATCTGACATACATATCAATCATCAACATATACTTGACTGGAATATTGTTTTATAGTCTATATCAACATGGACTTGACTAGTATACTGTTTTATACAGGTACTTGACTGGTATACCGTTTACAATCTGTCGGCCATATTGTTAGTAGTTTAATAAAACTGTATCATAACCATAACAAGTGTGAAACAGGAACCGAGCATGGCTTCAGAAGTCCGATGCGCAATTGGCCAAGGAACATACATGACGATCGTACTTGAATTGTCGAGGCCATACGTCGTTTTCTGGACGAGCGTCGCCCCTAAGAATTACTATAAGATGTATGGCGCATGGGGGAGAAAGGGGGAAATGGGGTTTAACGTCCACTCGAAACCGGAGGACCCGGAGAAAACCCACGAGGTTGGACAGGCGACCCTACTCACGCCAGTTGACTCAATAACAGACCTAATGATACAGCGCGCGCTTGCTAACCATTCGGCCATCCACCCCCGTGGAGCATGGGAACAAGTTCATAGGCCAAAAAATTAATATTTTGGCTGTTCTTAATATGAACCCCCCCCCCCCCCCCCGACAAAAATGAAACGGAGTTTAACTTCCTACTTTGCTACATAAAGCGGGATAATGAAGTCGGGCATACGCTATGTAGTGGAATATTTACCAGACCGGAAGGTCTCGTGTAAATTTCTCGGTTTCGTTTGGCTAATTGGTGTTTCACATGATCAGATTTTTCACAAGAACGACGCTCTTCACAAAAAAAATAAAATGTTTTTTTTTTCTCCGACTAGGCTAATGAAGTGTGTCATGAGGGAGATTTTGCTCAGACAGCGGTGATAAGGCCTCGAATTCCAACTATCAATTTTCGTTACGTGCCTGCCAATATGTGTACACGGGACCTGGATTTTTCGTCTCATCCGAAGGACTATACGCTGTCCCTTGCCAGTCCCTCTGTCCTAATTTTAGTATGATATTTTTAAACTAAGTAAAGAATGAAATGATTGCTATTTGTATGGGTTATATAATGTGACCGTACCTTGTCTATGTAATATCTATCAACACCTAGTATTAATATTAACACTGGATATCATCAACATCATCTGTAAATATATAATATAGTATTTATATAACACATAAATAATAAACCACGTATATAAATCATATATCACAATCATCATCGTAATCCATGCCCATAGAAACATCATCACAAGTCAGGAATTGTGGAAAATATTCTACCAGCTTCATCACAATCTATAGGTTGTATGCAATTACGTCAATAAATTGGCTGTGCTTCTCTGGAATTTTCCAGCGTAGCTTTCCCCTCGTTCGCATGGAGAGGAAATCTTGCACGTAAAAGATTCCTTGAAAGTTGGAATTCGAAATAAGGGTTGGTCGTAGCACCTCTGTCCGGGCAAAATTTACCTCATTGCACACTTGCACGGGAGTAGGATGCTCTGGACATTTCTCACAGCCTACCTTAACGACTAGTAAACCAACATCTTACGGTGGCCCCCGCAGCATACCACGACCGGCGTTAATCTCACCAACAATCACGTGCCCTAACCTTATTTACATCTCAGCGACCTTGACAAAAATTGAGCTGGCCTTAACAAATATATTTAGCCGTAACGTAACTTTTTAAACGATCGCAGTATACCCTCTACTTACGTCGTCAACTAACATGCTATAATTGATAAACTGTCCACCATCAAGTGAACCAGCATCACTTAGTCCAAAATTAAAACATTACCTTAGATTTAAAAACTAGAGATACGCAAAGTTTTATGTTGTTCCGTTCTACAACTACTTCAAAATCAAAAACTATTACCAATAAAAGATCCAAGTGATACGTCGTCCTGTTCTACCCCAAATTTAAAATATTACCAATAAACGATCTAAGTTTTATATCGTCCTTGGCCCTGTTTCTCGAAATCTTAACTAAAAATAAAATCCAAATTTTAGTAGATACTTCATTTTTGATTGGCTAAGCACTAAAATCAATCTAATATTATCCAATCAAATTACTAAAATTTGGATTTTATCTTAGTTAAAACTTCGTGAAACAGGCCTCTGTTCTACACCAAATTAAAAATATTACCAATAAAAGATCCTAGTTTTATATCGCCCTGTACACCAAAATCAAACATGTTACCAATAACAGATCCAAGCACCATGACGAGCAAACACCAATATGGTGGAAATACGACAGATAAAAACACCTTATTATAGCGATAACAACAAGATGGCTTCATATTTTACTTAACCACACTCATCATTGATTGGGTGAAAAAAAAGAATTATTTTCAAACGAAACAAAGAGCTAATCAGTTGATTACCTGAATATCGATATAGATCGATATCTCACACAAAACTTTTGTTTTACTCGTCAATTAAGTAGGTTGTTAGACAAAATACGACGGCCATTGCTCAAAGATTTTCTGTAGACAATTGAACATAAAGAAACGCACTGCGTTCATATAGATGGAAGCAATGGGAGGCTGTTTTTCTCATGTGTTATCAAAATACAGTGGCAAAGGCGCAAATAGTTTCTGTTTCTGTAGATAAGTGAAAACAAAGACGTTGGCCATGTTTATAAAACCTGAATGCCCTGGTTTGTTGTTGTTCACATGTCGGCATAGGTGTTGGTTGGGGAGGGGGTGGGGGCATTATCATCCAATCCTTTTAAAGCGCGCCGAATGAACTCAAGGGGTGGAGTATTGAAATAGGTTCCGTCCCCGTTCGTCTGTCCTTCCGTCACAGTTTTATTTCCAGGGAATATCTCAGAAACCAATCCATATAGCTTTGTACACATATCGAGGTATTAAAGTAGTTATTCCTTTTGCTAATTAGAAATTTCGTAGTTGGATAATTTTACTTAAGATATTTTGCAATGGCGAGGGACGTTTATGACCTAGTCATCTTTGAAATTTGTATAGGTAGTCTGTCTATAAAAGCATATTCATTGGCTGAGATTCAAAATCTTAGAACAAATTTTATTTTTTAGCCAATACAAAGGCAGCATTCTGATATAGCATACGATTTCGTGGATACGATTCCCTGTATGTTCTGCGGATCACGGTGGCTAAGTGGGTAAGACGCTGGCTCGCTAGCCTAGAGGTCCGGTGTTCGAGCCCTGCATTGGCCGAGAAAGTTCATCCAGATTTTCCGGCGTGGTTCCCCCTTGTCAGTGATGCAGGACAGAGGGCCTGACAAGGACAGCTATCTAGTCGTTCGGATGAAAATAAACCGACGTCCCGTGTACACATTGGCCTGCACGGAAAAGATCCCTTGACAGTTAGAAATCGATATAAGAGTGGGTCGTAGTGCCGCTGCCCGGGCAAAATTTCCCTCATAGTACACTGTATGGCGTATGCTCGTCTTCATTAGCCCAGTTCGGAGTAGAACAGTAGGACGTTAAACACCATTTCATTTCCTGTATGTTCTATGACAATCTCCTTTTTTTTCGTTGCTTAGCAACTTATATATTTCAAATTACTTTGTTGTAAATGACTGGACACAAAGAAGAAGATGGTGGACCAAGAGCCTTTAAACTGAATACGGTGGGTTTCTGTTGATTTCAGGTCAGCCATTGTGAAACTTTCCTTGAGCAAGTTTCATAATAATGTTGATTTATGCAGTTGTCGGCTCATCAGTGCATCTTTAGTAAACATGATTTAATACGTTTGTCAATAGCAACCACATGTTCAAATCTTTACCGCCATTATCCTAATGTTTCTATATGACTAAACAGGCCTATAGCTTCATTTATTCTCATATTTAACATATAAATTTTAAACACATGAAAATAGTCTTTGATATCGTCGAGAACACATTATTCCTTTTTACTGGGTGTTTGAAAAGACAGAAAAAATAATCTCAGATGAAATGTCGATTTCATACCCATCTTTCGCCAGACTTTAGAAAGTTGTTTTTCTCTCTCTCCATAGAAGTTTGAGATTCGTCTACAACGTGGGTGAATTTCCACATATGAATTTAAAAAAGTCACGTAGTCCATTCAATCGGCAATCGATTGTCCGATAGCTTTAAATCTGGTGTATTCTATATTAGACAATTCATCGGAGATTGATGGTATGAGATATTGAGCAATTCCAGTTAGAACACGACGATTTTGAGATATAAAAGTGAAATGAAATGGGGTTTAACGTCTACTTTTCTGTCTCGAGCGGCTGATGCTGCTCAGACAGTGAAATTACAAATGTTAAGTAATATTGGGCGTTAAACTCTGATGCTGCTCAGACAGTGAAATTACAAATGTTAAGTAATATTGGGCGTTAAACTCTCTCTCTCTCTCTCTCTCTCTCTCTCGGGTATGCCCGATCGAATGAAGTTTACCGTCATACTAACATTTGGGTCATTATTTGGAGACTAAAATACCTAAATGTTTGGAGAACGGCGGAAATCACTAACGTTGAAATTTACCTGTGGCAGGTAACATTGACATTCGGGATCGTGTTATACTTATGGAAAGGATATGTTGACATAATTATTTGCATTAAATAAAAAAAATTATGAAGCTTTTCCGGTGACCTTTAATGGTTAAGTGAGAGTATAGGAATTTTCCCGAACAGAGGGGTTTCCGATTGCTAATTTGTTGTTTTATGTACACGCCAATAGGTAGGTTACATAGGCTATGTAGACCGCGATTGAGTCGCCGCATCTCGAAACCATTTGCATCGATGACATACTTTATGATCCAAAAGCCCACGCGTTAGACCTTGACATTGAAGGGATAAGCATATAGCCAAACACAGTAGTACTTGACAAGGACAGCTGTCTAGTCCTTCGGATGAGACGAAAAACCGAGGTCCCGTGTGTATACATTACAATGCACGTAAAAGATCCCTTGGCAGTTGGAATTCGATATAAGAGTAGGCGATAGTGCCGCTGCCCGGGCAAAATTTCCCTCATAGCACCCTGTATGGCGTATGCCCGTCTTCATTACCCCAGTATAGGAGCAGAACACAAGGACGCTAAACCCCATTTCATTTCATTTACCTACTACAACTACTAGGGATTTACATCCGCTTCCTTGATATATAAATGACTGCGACATGCCGTTTCTCACGTATAGGGTCGGGTCGGGTCGGGGCGGGAGAATGGCTTAACACGTGCGAGTCAAATCACAATGTCTGTCATTGAGTCAATTGGCGTGGTTTCGATTTCCCGCTTGTACGAGACAAGGGGCGGGGTCGCCTGTCCAACTTTGTGGATTTTCTCTGGGTCCTCCGGTTTAATCCCATAGCTAAAGACGCGCAAGCGAATTATTGAAATAAAATTGAACCATACGGTAGTCCCGATTGGCCGAAATGATCTAGTTTGTCTCGAGTGAATGTTAACTCCATTACTCTCTCTCTCTCTCATTTGTATGATACAAATAACGTAACATTGCGTCACTATGGCAACGTGACATAACATTTAATCTCCTAACCTGTGCCCAGTGTCAACATTAGTATTGTCCATAAAAACGTGTTACAGAAACCCTTGTTTATCCTCGTCCAATTTAAACAAATTTACGTTAAGTGCTGCATCACGCTGTGAAGGGACTTTTATAATTATAGCCTGACATCCATATTAAGGATTGTCACAACTTAACTCCGAACAAAGGGGTCGGCTCAAACAATTTATTTTACAAACCCATCCCGTACTTTTTATGAAACTTAAATTAAATGAAATGAAAGGGGGGTTTAACGTCCTACTCCAACTGGCTAATGAAGACGGCTGAAACTTAACCCCAACAATTGTGTAAATTTTATTACTGCTGGAGAAAGTATTTTTAGTCCTGATGTTTTTTCTGGGGTGTTATCTTCCTGAACCAGTGTGTTTGAATATTTTCTCTTGTACGGTCTCAACTCGTGAAGTCGGAAATAAAATGTGGCTTGACGTATTTCTGTTCTCTACCTACCGGACAAATGACGACGGGCCATAATATGTGATAGTTATAAGGCAAATTGTGCCCAGACAGCGACATTTAACCACCTGTTCTTCGTGGAAATCCAACTGTCAAGGGTTCCTTTACGTGCACGTTAACGAGACATGGGTGAACCTAGTTTTTTCTGTCCCATCCGAACGACTGGACGCGTATCCGGTTGACGTTAAACCCCATTTCTCTATTCTAACCATCTACTCGTGTCATGTCTAACCCGGAGTGTGGACCCCCCTCTGTAAATATACGATCTCTATATATAAACTAGCGTGTCAACCATTGCAATTTGAAGACAGGGTGAACGGTAAAGTAAGTAAACTTGAATTTTTTAAAGACAATAAACTTGCTTGCTATATGTATTATCATATATATAGCCTACGTGACAAAAAGCTATATATCACACCTGGCTGAATATATCCACCCTTTATTAAAAAAGGCTTATGTGTATATTGTATTACCAAGCCTTATTATCAAGCAATTTCATTCTTAAAAGATTGTTTGTTTTTCTCCCATTACGAAGACGAGTGATGCAATCAAATTGAATTCTTACAATAGACACATTTTGATGTATATTTGTATATATTGTAATTGTATAAAAAGGGCAATGGTTGTTAGAATTGTACAGAAAATGCATCAATTACATGAATTACAAAAAAAAACTTCGACTAGTTTTCAAATCCTCTATTCAGAATATTCATGTTACAATTGACATCAAAATATTGCAAGCCTAATTAATTCTGAAATATGTCATGTGGTTTTTAAATAAAAACTAGAGTTCGCTTTTAGAGCTGATCCAAATCAAAGGGAAACTTTTAATGGGGGCTAGTTTACCGTGCACTAAAATTAGTCCTTGGCAGTTGGAATTCCATGAATTTCCCCAGAGCATACTGTGTGTCGTATATCTATCTTCACAAGTCCGTCTGATGCAGGCAAAATAAGACTTTATGTCATGCCCCATTTCATTTTGAATACAACCAATCTGATTATAATACAGATCTATATTTCGTTTCGTTTTTTTATACTTTCGATAGCCTACACTACATGTAGATCTGACCGGTTGTAGCGATAGGTCGCGTCAGAGGTCATACGATCCTTTGTTGACCCTATGGCGTCAGACATTTGATTAACCAATCATCATTGATGTTACTAGTGGATTACCCACAGTTCCGTGAAAAACACGCCTAAAGCTCGTCGTAACAGACCGTTTCATTGGCCAATTCCTCACCCCATTCAGAACACGTCAATGATAACAACTCTTCTAGATCCTAGTGTAGTAAAGACAAGTAAAACGAAATTTTGAACTATTAAAACAAAACGAAATAGGATCTGTGTTTAACCAGATTGGAATACAACCAAATGTTAACATATAAAGTTAAATTATAGCAAATAGAAAAACATTTTTTTCCGACAGGAGAGATCTAGCCTCTTTAAAACACAAATTTTGATATCCACTAATATTATAAAAGCAATGAATAAAAACTGATTTTTTAGTAAAATGAAAAATATCTAGGCCTATATAATCCCGGAAAAAAGAGCCGGTTTTACAGCCCCTTTAAAACATAAGTCTGGTGGACTGACATTAAAGAAGCCGAGAATGAAATAGATATTTGACTACAACGAAAACTATTAGGATGTCGGATATAAGATATTGTGTTGTATAAATCTTCACAGTATATCGTGAACATTAATATGACAGATTAGAGGATAATATTATGTTATACTTTAAATTAAGATTAGAAACGGTCTAGCAGTCACATAGACAATTACATAATATACAAAAAAACAACACTGCATCGGTCTTTATACGGATAATATTTAGTGTCAAATAAATATTTATCTTCGACGGTGGAAATTCCTACATGAACATATCTATAGCGTCTGGTACGACGATGGGGATTCCTATATGAACATATGAATTATAGCGTCTTGTACGACGGTGGGGATTCCTATATGAATTTATGAACTCTGTAGTCTGGTACGACGGTGTGAAATCTGCATTTTATAAAGATATTATAACAAAAGGTTTGACGGTTTCTGTAAAATACACCCTCCGGTATTTATCCCAGAAGTTTATCAATGACCTAGAACTATCATTATTAAATATACGACAATAATAAACCAATGGACCTGAATAATATTATATTTGAACTATAAAGGTCAAAATATAAAGGCTGTGTAGATGTTTGAGCCATTATTAACTTCCACTTTGACGACGTTTTCTTAAAAAACACAACACAATTTACAATATGGAAAACAACCACTGGTTTGTTGACTAAGACACTTAAAGATACATTATGTACATTAAGATTTAGACAAAGAACTGGCCAATCTGGCTATAATAGTTCAAAAAAGGATTGATTATGGTCTTGTCATGTTAATAAAAGTCTAATAGTTTATATAACATTTAGACCTAAAGAAAGACCTGCAATAGGCAGATTTGGCTCTTACATAAATGCTAACTGTCTATAACTCCATTTTATAGAATTAATTCAATCAAATTGAAGTTCTCTCGGTGGATTACCCAAAATTACAGATATCTGGAAAATGTCTGATTCGACACAAACTAGGTCATGTCGGGACTAACATATGGATTAATTTTTATTTCAATAATTCGCTTGCGCTTAGGGGTCTTTAGCAGTGGGAGGAAACCGGAAGACCCGGAGAAAACCAGGCGATCCCACTCCTTGTCCTGACTCGATGACAGTGTGATAATTTATTACTAATTACATACAGGAGAATTTGTAGATAACGAATGATATATTAATATATTGCTATAAAAAAAACTGTAATGGCTGTCGTTGTCCTTTAAGTGCGAGATGGAATGTGATTTATTGTCTAGTCAATACAATATGGCGGTTATTTTGAGATTACGTAATTGCAGGAGAATTCTCCGTCCCATCTAGACAACTAGGCTCACTTGCCCTGTCAGTATTACAGACAAAACCTCTGACAAGTAAGAATCGGGGTTAAAAACTTCGAAGATTCATCTTGGGAACCTACCAAGTGATCATACACCGGAATCATACCGTGGGATCATACCCTGTGACCATACCAAGAAATCCTACCAAGGGATCATACCCTGGGATTATACCCTGGGGTCATACCTATAGAGATCCTATCGTGGGATCATACCCTGGGATCCTACCAACAGATCCTGCCATCCTCTGGAATGCTACCAACAGATCCTGCCATGGGATCCTACCAACAGATCCTGCCATGGGATCCTACCAACAGATCCTGCCATGGGACCATCCTCTGGGATGCTACCATGGGATTATACCCTGGGATCATATCATGGGATAGTCTTAAGGACAGACCAGTATAATTACAGATGGCTTACCACGGTTCCACACACCCCACATCCCTTGTATGTTCCGACAATTATACAATCCTGGTTTAAAACCCTCAGGTATAATCGATCGACTAGCGGAATGCACCCACCCCCTCCCCGCCTTACCGTTTATGTTCCGACCATTTTATGATCCTGGTTTATAACCCTCAGTTATAATCGATCGACTAGCGGACTGACCCCCCCCCCCTCCCCACGCGCCCCACCGTTTATGTTCCGACCATTATAGAGAGAGAGAAATGGGGTTTAACGTCCACTCGACACAAACTAGGTCATTTCGGGACTAACATGGTTTAATTTTATTTACATAATTCGCTTGCGCGTAGGGGTCTTTAGCAGTGGGAGGAAACCGGAGGACCCGGAGAAAACCCTCGAGGTTGGACAGGCGACCCTACCGACGATTATACAATTCTGGTTTATAACCCTCAGTTATAATCGATCGACTAGCGGACTATAAAGCACCCCACCGTTTATGTTCCGAACATTATACAATTCTGGTTTAGAACGCTCAGTTATAATAGATCGACTAGCGGACTGACCCCCCTCCTCCCTTTCTCCGCTTCACCGTTTATACATGTTCCGATGATAAAATGGTCCTGGTTTATCACCTTCAGTTATAATCCATATTGTCATTAGTTATAGGTATATATGCCTACTGATATACATATAACCCTGGGCTATAAACTAATGAACCTCACCAGGTATAAAGTATATAACAATATAATAATATACCTTAATGATCACTACTCCACTCTATATACCTGAACACAGGTTCAATAAGTTTCTCTTCCAACCAACTGAACCTAGTCGCACTGGTGAAGTACAATATTGACTTTAAAACAACTAAATAAACACAGAGACCCCGTCTTGAAATAGCCAGCTATTGAAGTCTTTATAGGACATATCGCTTTGACATTAATACGACTTGAACATACGTGCAAACTTAATGGATTTAAAAATAAAGGTATGAAATGTATACTACTCTATATAGGCCTACAATGTCTACTGGAATACTTTTCCTTGAATATATATAAATCAAGACGACATCTTATCAGACGTCTTCGTTAGTGTAGATGTAGAAAAGTTTAGACTTGAGGCTAAACTCTCCATTTTATTACAGTTTGTTTGTGTCATTAATAATAATACGACTTGAACATACGTGCAAAATTAGCGGCGATTTTATAATAAAGGTGTGATGTAGGCCTACTACTCTATATAGGCCTATAATGTCTATTGAAATAATTTTCCTTAATGACGTCTTCGTTAGTCCTGTAGATGTAGAAAATTTTCCTTGAATATCCTGTGGATGTAGAAAAGTTTAGACTTGAGGCTAAACTCTCCATGTTATTACAGTTTGCCTCAACACTGTTATCACACCACTACCTGATCGGTAAATATTTGAAAACTGCGCACAGGTTTAATGGCTTTTTAATTGCTCTTTGAAAAGGTGGACATAGAACGAGTTGTATTAAGTCACAAGTGTGCATTGAAATTTAATACAATTATGCCGTTATATATTATTAAACAGATGGAGCTTACCTCTTTCTTTATACAGTACGTGTGTGTGACCCTATTTCTCCACGTTATCATATGGTTCGCTAACTTGTCAACCACTGCCTCTAGTAATAACTCCTCTCTTGTCAGTGGTGCAATCACGTGGGCCAAAGGTCAAAGGTTTTTTTTTTAGCCCTGAGGTGAATATAATCTCGATCATCTAGGCTCACCAAACCGTGAAAACGTTAAGCGGTAAAAGTTGTCACATTTGGAGACCAAGGTACCCGAGGCTATATTGGATTTTGACTGGGCGTGGCTAAGTTTTTTCTGTCCGGATAACCAAGTGTATGTCAATATAGTCTTGTGTTTACAAGACATACAACTGTCGGTATTGCAATGTTTGTTTGAGATAGAGAGAGAGAGACAGACAGACAGACAGAAAGACGAGGTGTGTGTGTGTGCGTGGGCATAGGCGTACGGGGAAATTTTTGATTGGGGGGGGGGGGGTAATAGTTGGTGCCCGAAAATGTAGTTAGATTTTTAGTATGTTACATAATAATAATAAATTCGCTGTTAAATTGGACACATTCAAGAACACAATATTTTTTTATACAACTTTTACAAAGACAAAGTACAATTGTGTGCCCAAATTTTCCCAGCATTTGGTGCCCAAAATGGGGGGGGGGCACCACCCCCAGCTCGTACGCCTATGTGCGGGGGGGGGGGCGTTGGTCCGTCCACAACTAGGTTATTTTGGGACTAATAACATAATTCGCTTGATGGGTCTTAAGCAGTAAGAGGAAACCGTGTGACCCGGAAAAAAATCACGAGATTGGGCAGGCGACATATATATACTGCTTATCACGTACGCGCTAGAGATCGAAACCACTTGACTTAACGACAGGCCTTAAAGCGGACGCGTTATACCACTCCGCCACCCTATTGAGGTGTATTAGTATGAGGTTTTACAATGCTGCTGAATGACAACGCGACGTGGTCATTTCTGTAGAACTGTTACCTATTTTAAGCCACGTTTCTCAAAATCCCCGCACCCCCCTTACGATTCTTTTATCTTGGGCATCATCACAAAAACTACAGCCTCTGTCGTGTTCAGGGGGTGTAACTCTAGGACAAAAGGTCGCGGAATGCTGAATATCGATAGGGTTCGTCATCTCATGACTACAAAAAAATTGAAAAGAATCCGATAAAGACTGTATATAGCCTCTCATGCGTTCACAGGCCAATTATTGACGGAAACCCCGACGGACAGGATGACGACATCATACGCCCGGATTTTCTATGGTCTCGAGTGATCTTTGTAAGGAAAAGAGTTGATGAACAAATTACAAATCAAAAACAGACCCGACAAGTCAATGCGAAATGGAGAAAAAAAGGGGAGACAAAATTTAAGGGAAATAAAAGAAACTAGTCTTAGCCCATATCTAAAGGAACCGGAGTCTTTGGAATTAACATATAACTCAAGTTTCGTCAAAATCGGATAAAAATAGTAGGCCATAAGCTAAATACGTTTTTTTTCGTACAATCTGGGGCCATAATCCAGGAAGTTACAGTCTGGTGCGCGCTAATATCTAAATGAACCTATGTGCGCTAATATCTAAATGAATTTAGATCTTTGAAATATATACATATATTTCAAATTTCATCAAAATCGAATAACAACTGAAACCATGTAGAGGATCTACACACAAAATGTAAACAGACAGACGGACACAGGGAAGACGACATAATACGTCCACATGAAAATGTGGGCGTATAAAAGATCTGTTAAAATCTATATCATAATTGCAAGGTTTTAAAACAAGTTTCATGAAATTCGGACAACAACTCAGACCTAAAGACAGCCTTTATACCTTTTACGTTAAATCAAGATCGTATAATTCTAAAAATGTATATCTAATTATTCAGAAAAGAAACAGACACCCTTGTTGTCTCATAAAGCAACTTTTCTGAAAGTTTCAGAAAGATTCCATGAGATCTGTTAACTCTACCATGCTAACAGGTAGTTTCGACAAACAAATGGCATAAGTTTCAGAAAAATCTGATATAAACTGACAAGCATTGCAAGCAGTGTGGACAGGTTTCGGCAAAAAAGGGGCAAAACTCTAAAAATATTATAACGATTTTGATGAAAAGAAATAGGAGCCTTCGTCGTATCATAATACAAGCTTCCTGGAAGTTGCAAAACCATCCGATAAAAAACATAGCCTCTAGTGCACTAACAAGAAAGAGTGGACGGACTAAAAACATAAGGACCTTCATCGTATCTTAATACAAGCTTCCTGGAAGTTGCAGAACCGTCCGATAAAAAACATAGCCTCTAGTGCACTGACAAGAAAGGGTGGACGGACTGAAAAGAAATAAAGACCTTCATCGTATCATAATACAAGCTTCCTGGAAGTTGCAGAACAATCCGATAAAAAAAACCACGTAGATTCTAGTGCGCTGACAAGAAAGTGTGGACGGACTGACGGACGAAAAGGGTGATTACAATATACGTCTACATTAACATGTGCGACTTTGTCATTAGTTATGCTTATCTCTGAGAATGCACTAAATGGAGACGAAATTTCAACAGAACGCCTCAGTGAATGTCCCAAATCCCGCTGTTATTTCTAAATGAAAAGGCCAGCTCAATTTTTCGTCATAGCGCTAATCCCAACCCTAACCCTGGACATAACCGCAATGCTTACCCCAACCTACAATCTCGTCAACAATCACGCACCCTAACCTTATTTACATATCAACAAGGACCTTGACAAAAATTGAGCTGGACTTAACAGATTTATTCCAACCCCACAGCCAATTCCAAATGCTTTATTCAGAAATATTATAAATAGTCTCCTAATTTAGTTTCGGACTTTTAGAAGCGAAACATGACACAGGTGGCTAAATTTAAAAAGTTAATAGAGAATTAATCTTAGTTTTCATGTACCACTGCTACGATAATAAACAGGTGGGGTTGGGGGTGGATGGCCGAAAGATTAACGCGTGTACGTTGTATCATAAGGTATGTCATTGAGTCAACTGGCGTGGTTTCGATTCCCCGGTTGTACGTGACAAGGAGTAGGGTCGCCTGTCCAACCTCGAGGATTTTATCCGGGTCTTCCGGTTCCCTACCACTGCTAAAGACACCTACGGGCAAGAGAACTATTGAAATAAAATTGAACCATATATTAGTCTCGAAATGACCTAGTTTGTGTCGAGTGGACGTTAAATGCCATTTCTCTCTCTCTTTCTTTGACTGATTGAGATTGAAATAAAAGTAGGATGTAGAGTGCCCCCGCCCCCCTCTCTCTCACGCACACACACACATTATAAACATGTAACGGTAAATCTCTGATCTTTGGGGTATATTCTATGCCTTTCCGACGTGGTTTCCCCTTGTCAGTGGTGCAGAACGGAGGGCCTGACAAGGACAGCTGTCTAGTCCTTCGGATGAGACGAAAAACCAAGGTCCCGTGTATACATTGGAATGCACGTAAAAGATCCCTTGGCAGTTGGAATTCGATATAAGAGTAGGCGATAGTGCCGCTGCCCGGGCAAAATTTCCCTCATAGCACACTGTATGGCATATGCCCGTCTTCATTAACCCAGTATAGGAGCAGAACAGTAGGACGTTAAACCCAATTTCATTTCATTTCATTTCATATTCTTGAGGTCTGAAAGTCGGGGGCGGCTATGTATATATAGAGGGAAATTTGGGGTTATTCTTCTGAAAGTTTTTCTTTAAACCTGTAACAGGTTATACTTCTAGGGTAAGGTTTTTTTTTCCATAAGAAAACATGATCTAAGGTTTTTCTTATGGGAATTCTGTGATATTCTCATTTTGCGTAGATGAAAACGTAGGCGGTTTATAAGCAAGATAAAGTTCTCGACTTCGGTTATGCTGGGGAAGAAAGACTTCAGAAAAAAAACCTGTCGGCCTCGGTTTTTCTTTTTCTCTGGTTATTTTCTTCAGTCTTTCTTTCCCTAGCATGACCTTAGTCTCGTACTTTATCCTACACATAATAAACGATCTTCGCTACATCTTCAAGCATTCATAACTTCACCCAGAATAAAGTAATTGGAATGAAAATTTAAATATATTCATTTTTGAACTGTCAGTTCTTTCTCTAAATCTTACATACTGAATCTTTAATATAACTTTTTTAAAAATACGGGTGGTATGTTTCTTTGGGTTTAAGGAATAAGTCGATCCAGTTTCAACAATTCTTATTGCATATTATCTTTCCGGTCATATTTTGACTTTTAAAACTTTGTGAAAAGGATACGGAACCGGGTTCTAGACATTTTTGTATTGACTTGGATTGGTCGTCCATTTGATGCTAAGGAGGCACCCTATCGATTTTCGACAGCAAATCGTGAAATTATCCCCCCGGTTTAGGTCCAACCCCATGACCCGTCTTCAATAGCCCAGTTTTATAGAACAGTAGGACATTAAACACCGTTTCATTTCAAATTTATCACATTTTGTTAACCCGACAGAAATCTTTAAAGCTTCATTGGGGCATTAGGGAGAACCTTTTTCGATTTTTAATTTCGTGGAACCACCCTTCCGTTTCGTGGAAGTATCTTAACACTATCATCTTTAAGTGGCATTTAGCGATTTGGAAAAAAATTAACGGAACATGGTTTTTATGGGATACATTCACTGGTTTATTCTAAAAGCACGACGTGTTGACGTTTTGACGTTGTGTTTCAGAGGATACTTGTCGAAACGTCGTGCTTTCAGAATAAAACTAGTGATTGTTTCCCATAAAAACTGTGTTTGGTTATCTTTACGCTTTTTGAACAGTTTGGTTCATTATAATATTTTTTCCTTTTAGATATTTTGCTAGTAAATAGTTATAAGGTGCATGTTTCTTTAAAAAAATGTGAGACCTTTAAGTATGATTTTGAATAAGGCGGAGTCCCAATCTTTATACAGCTTATAACTTCACCAAGTCTAAATTTGGAGGCACTGCATGGTTTTCTGTTGGGTAAATTAATCTAGAATTGCCCATATATCTAGAATTGCCCATATATCTAGAATTTCTTTATAGAAACAAAAACCGTCTTTATTTATTGAATATAATTAAGCTTTCATATTACATATGAAAGCTTATTGTTTCTGTTAAGATTATTATTGTTATTTTTTTTTTGTGTTTTGTCCACAAATCGGATTTCTCAGAATCTAACCATAGGATCGTTCTGAAACTTTTACCTATCCCCCCAAAAATGGGTGGTGGCTGTTGATTAAATATATTTTCAAAACGTTTTACGAATCCGAAATCACCGAATTTTACGAAGGAATGCATTTGACCTACAATGCTGTAACTCTGTGACTATTTGACCTATTTTACTAATTCTTTTTTCTTTGAGTATCTTGAAACATTTACTTCAAATCTACAATTTCGGATTTTGGCATTTCGAAAATTCGTCGCTGTCATTTCGAACCGGAAGTTATTACCAATTTGACAACTTCTTTAATAGTTGTGCGATTTTCGTGAAATTTAGAATGTTAGTAGATCTTGCCAATGCGACTTCAATGATGTCCTTGGAAATTTTCTAAATTATCTCCCCTTGGTGAAATTAAGGATCAAAGTTTTCAAAAAAATCGTCGAAATATAGGTCAGAATGACCTAAAAAAAAAATTCGATACTAGACAAGTAATTACTGATTCGTACACAAAATATGGAGTTTGTCGATTGAACCGGAAGTGCCACCATCTTTAAACGTGAAAAATCAAAAAGGCTTTTTTGCTATTTTACTTACAGACTCGGTCGTCATATTTTTGGAATCCTGGAAGGAATACCTAAAAATCTATCGGATCAGAATTTTGATTTCGGTCACGTGATGGTCACCATTTTGAATTGAAAATGAAAAATAGAAGCAATTTGAAGGGCCGGGACTTTGGAACACAAGAACTCTCCTTCTAATTAAGCTAGAATGTTCAAACTTGGTGTAAGCGTTCACTAGGTCAATGTCATGATTGAGTTCAAAGATGAGCATTTTTTGCCTAGGGTAAGCAGAGATAAGCAAGCTGATTTGTTGATTCTTTAGGGCACGATGACATTGGTTATAATGAATGGAGGGCGATGAAACTCTTGTCAATCGAGAGGCTAATAGTTGGCCTGTTGTGTGAAATCATTGTATCATTTTTTATTCGAATTTCTCCTTTGATGTTTTCCGTGCCGACAAGGTTGTTTTCGAGTTTAGCTGGATTTGACTTCGCGCATGCGCTACGCTGGAACCAAAGGTACCATGAGTACTAAATTCCGGCGAGCAACTTTTCACGTTGGTACCTAGGTACCCTGAAAATTTCAAGGTGATACCTGCATTCGTTCAAGTCGTTTGTTCTTGTCACCTGCCTTTCGTCGTTTTTTTTCTAAGTCAATTTACGGCTTCCATGAGGGGAAAAAAGTGGAATTTCGCCGTGACACCGGCACCGATTGTCCGAAAACCATGAAATTTGGACACAATACGTCCATTACCACCCCGGACTCTGTGCCTTACCCCCATTTTGATCCCATTAAAAAAAAAGAGTTTTAGCAAAAAAACGATTTTCGGAATTTAATATTGGTTTTAACCCTGTACCCAGACAAGATATAGATATTATTATAATCCCTATGAAATATTTTAATTATTTACTGCTATAATATGAATTATCACTTATTCCCCGTTAAATAAATATCGGTCACCGGGTGCAGCTGTACAACTTCAAGGACCCTGGCTTCAAGTCAATTTACGGCTTCCATGAGGGGAAAAAAGTGGAATTTCGCCGTGACACCGGCACCGATTGTCCGAAAACCATGAAATTTGGACACAATACGCCCATTACCACCCCGGACTCTGTGCCTTACTCCCATTTTGATCCGATTAAAAAAAAAAAAGTTTTAGCAAAAAAACGATTTTCGGAATTTAATATTGGTTTTAATTAATTTTGAAATTGCAAATGCAAAGAGATTTTATCGCCTCTTCCGTATGTGATAGGTACTGGTACTATACACATTATCCTTAAAAGACAATTTTTTAAAATGACCGTAACGATGTATCGACACTAGAAACCGAAATCGCCTATTTTGACCTTTTTTGACTGCTGAGGTATCATTCCGGTGGTCCAAATCTCTGGAATTTCTAGCGGTTGGCTGCGCCGCGATGATATTTATCACATACTAAATTGAGAAAAATCCTCAGATATCAAGAACAATAAAAATTCGATAAAATACGGCAATTTTTTAAGCAAAAAACCTTTGATTGTTGGGGGCGGGTTTTGAATTTATTTTGAACGTTCTCGGAATCCAACACTCTTCTATTTTTAATATGTGATAGCTAGAATCCCAAGGTACATTCTGTGCATATTTGAAGGCAATCGGAGCACAGGAACGTTGCCTGGGCAGAGCAAATCAAAGGCTTCTTCGTCTTATGACCTTAAACACTGCGTATAAATTTAAAGTCAATCGGATATTAACAGCAAAAGGGGGGCGACGACAATATACGACCACATTTCAATGTGGGCCTATAAAAAGTAAATCATTGCCAATAGAAAAGACCCACCTTTCCCCCAACAACAACCATGTAATGCACTAGCTATAATGGGGATTTTTCTGGAACACAGCGAAATGGGTCTTTTAAAATGTTCACAAGTGTATCACAAGGAGGGTTTGCTTCTTCTCTATGGGACACCCGATACCACTTCTCAACGAGGAATTCAGTCACACAGCCAACACCATTTTGTATGTTTGTGTAATCTTTATTCAGTATAAATCAAGTAATACAAATAAAAAAATACTTGGATTGATGAAAACATAATTTTTGAGAGTTATTCATACATGTAGCATAATTGTTCTTATTTAAAAAATGTACATGATTACATGTTTGTCATAAACAACATTAAATAAACAATCATGTTTCTTCACGATAACAGTAACAGTATAACAATTGTATGAAATATATTTTCCTTTATTTTTTTTTATTTTTAGAAAGGCCACTTCCTTGGTTTAAAATATATCATAAATTGTAGTTATCTAACATATACTTCCATGTATGTTTATCTAACAGATTACCACGTCGCCTTATCTAACAGAGAGTAAATGGTATACAATATCAAATTATAATCTACCAGCATTACTTGTTTCAGTAATTTAATCGTGTGTTATTCTTGTATTTAAGTGAGAAGAGTGAATAAACTATCATGGGTTGAAACAAATATATTGGAGTAGAAATAAACATTGTATATTGGTTTGCAAATAAATAATTGGTACAGATAATGCAATGTCATACAACATACTTTTTGGATTCGGTACAAATACAACCTTTTTATCATCAATGAAAATAATGTGATTTCAAAGTAACGATGAATAAAAAAACATTGCTTATATAAAGTACATGTAATTGGGTTCATTTAATTCACTTTGTATCTATAATATACATGTAGTATTAAACAATAAATATATTGATTAATGCCAATTCTATACAAATCTCATAGTTGTATTCATGTTTTCTTTACCATAACAAGAAACAGTACAACAGATTTAGTAACAATATTATATTATATTCCTTTCTACATCCGTCAGAGTGGTTGATGATTCATAGATTCTAATAACCCCTTTTGAAGTTTATATGAAAGCTTTGATATCTGCTATGCAGATCTAGTTCTATTTATAATAACAGAAATAAGCAATTAATATATCTTAAACATTTGGCACAATTGGATATCACATTTAATGCAAGAATTAATCAACATTGTTATTGAACTGCACCTCGGACATACATTGACAATCAAAATCATGGCAATCAAGCCACAGTTAACAGCAGCGAGCAGAGACGAACATTTCAAGCAGGCACTTAATAGAAGTTTGTTTTTTTTATTTTGAAATTATCGCGGATATCTTCGTTGTAACCATTCCTAGAGTTCCACAAGCTGGGGGTTGAATGTGGATCTGTGTTTTAATAAGGAAGAAAGAATAAGGGAGACCAGAATATAGAATAAGGGTCCCCTGAGTATAGAACCTGTATTAAATGAAGTGGTTCAAATGTTTTCCTGACAGCCGATCTCATTTGGAGCACTGAACTTAATGTGGCTGATTTATATTTAATTTGAATAAAAAGTTTCTCATCTTGTTTTGTTTTACACAAATGTTTTCCTTCTCACATTTATTCTGCCCAGAACTTAACTTGGTATTGTTCTGGAGTAATCAACTGTGGACCCCAATATTTTACCGAGTAGTATTGTTCTGGGGTAATTATCTGTTGGCCCCATTATTTCACTGAGTTTTGTACTGGGGTAATCAGCTGTGTGTGTCCCAGTATTTCACTGAAAATTGTTCTTGGGTAATCAACTGTGGGCCCCAATATTTCACTGAGTATTGTTCAGAAGTAATCAACTGTAAGCCCCAATATTGTTCTGGAGTAATCAACTGTTATAAATCAAGTAAGCCCCAATATTTGACTAGGGTTACACTATAATACTGAAATTCACTTGAAGTGATCACTTTTACCAAGGTCCTTCCTATATATATTCCAACGGGTCACAGACAATGTCAGGCACAAATACAAATTCTGTCTTGTCAGGCACAATCTCTTCAGTGTTGTTTGGCACACAATTCTCTTCTTTTTAATGATAAATCCGACACAAAAGTCAAAATGTGAGTTACTAGTTCATTACATACAACTAAAATAACTGAGTTACTAGTTCATTACGACAACTAAAATAACTGAGTTACTAGTTCATTACATACAACTAAAATAACTGAGTTACTAGTTCATTACGACAACTAAAATAACTGAGTTACTAGTTCATTACAACTAAAATAACTGAGTTACTAGTTCATTACGTACAACTCAAATAACTGAGTTACTAGTTCATTACGTACAACTCAAATAACTGAGTTATTAGTTCATTACGTACAACTAAAATAACTATTTCCAGATATATATACATATATTAAACACAAGAACTTCTCTCCCGGTGTTAAACTGGTTCAACATATATTATACACCAGAACTTCTCTCCCGGCTCTTCATATATTATATACCAGAACTTCTCTCGCGGTTCTTCATATATTATACACAAGAACTTCTCTCGCGGTGTTATACCGAAACCCGCCATACACACGGTTAAAACTATGAGATCTGTCCGTGAAATTGTCTCACAAATTAGGCTCTGTTTCTCGGTGACTTCCTTCTTAATCACGGGTGATATGGTAAAAAAAATCGTGAAATGTATTCTTGACCATTCTATAAAAAATCCAGTATAATTTATAAAGCGTGTTCATACTAAAGACTTGTAGCAGATGCTGATGACTCCTTCCTTCACAAATCGTCTACTGTGCACCGTGTTTCCTTCTGTTTAAAACGGTTCCTGAGCTCAAATCATACATTTCCGGATTCATGTTCTTCATTCAAAAACATCAAACAGCTTAACATTGCTTTTTGTAGATAAATATTGTCGACTAGATATGGCATTGTGGTCGCCAAACGCACTTGACTTGACTTTACGTTATTATTGCTTATGGTGGTCTTTTTCTCTTGCGGAAACACCTGCACGAAATCGATAAGTGAGACAAACCCCACCGATATGTGTGAGACAAACCCCACCGATATGTGTGAGACAAACTCCACCGCAATGAGTGAGACAAACTCCACCGTAATGAGTGAGACAAACTCCACCGTAATGAGTGAGACAAACTCCATCAACATGAGTGAGACAACCCCCACCGATATATGTGTGAGACAAACCCCACTGACATGAGTGAGACAAACCCCACCAACATGAGTGAGACAACCCCCACCAACATGAGTGAGACAACCCCCACCGATATATGTGTGAGACAGACCCCACCGACATGAGTGAGACGGACCCCACCGATATGAGTGAGACAAACCCCACCGATATGAGTGAGACAAACCCCACCGACATGAGTGAGACAAACCCCACCGACATGAGTGAGACAAACCCCACCGATATGTGTGAGACAAACCCCACCGACATGAGTGAGACAAACTCCATCAACATGAGTGAGACAGACCCCATCGATATGAGTGAGACAAACCCCACCAACATGAGTGAGACAACCCCCACCGATATGAGTGAGACAAACTCCACCGATATGAGTGAGACAAACTCACCGATATAAGTGAGACAAACCCCACCGACATGAGTGAGACAAACCCCACCGATATGAGTGAGACAAACTCCACCGATATGAGTGAGACAAACCCCATCGGTATGAGTGAGACAAACCCCACCGACACACATAAAACAAATCTCATAGTCTTAACCTCACTTTGATAACATATATTTTGTTATTCACATGTTTTTTTGTCTCTGTAATGTTTGCGTCTTCAGAATAGTTTAATCCATGATAAAAATCAAACTTTATGGAGTTTATTTTTGTGTTTAACACCACTGTTTTCTTGTACAATTAAGAGCGCGAATTGTAATCACTGACGAAGCAGAGTTCAATTAATAGTGTGAATTGTAATCACTGACGAAGCAGAGTTCAATGAACAGCGTGAAGTGTCATTACTGATGAAGCAGCCGAGATGGAAGGACTGTTTAAATATAAAGCATATTCATTCAACGCCTGAAAAATATAAAATAAATAATGTTATCTATTATATTGGCATTCACTGTATTTATTCTATTATATTCACTCAGTCAGTAAGGTTTTGATTCGATCCCGGTGTTGTCCTCGGTTTCTCAAAGCATTCTCAAATACATCAATAAGAAACTATGTGCGAAGTTTTGTGTTTCTGGATCAAAGATATTTCCCATAAACAGTGATTTCAAGTTGAGTAAACTCTAGTCTCAAAATAACCCAACTATTGTGTCGACGATGCGTTAATTTTCCTTTCTCTCAAAGAGTCGCGGTGGCTCAGAGGGTAAGAATTTAGCTCGCTAATCCGGAGGTCTCGTGTTTGATCCTGGTGTTGACCCAGAAAGTTCATGGAAATTGTCCAGTCTGGTTTACTCATGTCAGTGGTGCAAGACAGGGGTCCTGGCAAGGGACAACTATAGTCGTTGGGAACGATGAGACGAAAGACCAAGGTCCTGTGTAGACACTTGCGTGTAGGTTAGGGATCCCTTTGTAGTTGGAATTCGATATAAGAGTAGGCCGTGGCACCGTTGTTCGGGTGAAATTTCACTCATAGCATTGTGTATGGCATATGCCCATCTTCATTACACCGGAGTATAAGAGTGGAACGTTAAACCCTACCTCACCTGACATGTTCTCTCACCTGATACATTAGAGTGTATTGTTCTCTCACCTGATACATTAGAGCGTATTGTTCTTTAGTTTGTACGGCTCCAGCTCTTTCCTTCCTCATTTTACTGACACAGTTTAATACGTCCGCCACCCTCTCTTGTTCATATTGTCTCATACAAATATCTATACCTAATAATGTACCAGTTCTACCTGTACCAGGACTACAAATAAAATATAAATAAAATATAAATAAAATATAAATAAAAATAAAATAAATTAATAATATAAATATGAATAAAATACAAATGAAATACAGATAAAGAAAAATAAATTTAAATATGAATAAAATATAAATAAGATATAAATAAAATATAGATAAAGAAAAATAAATTTAAATATAAATAAAATAAATTTAAATGAAATAAATTTAAATATAAATAAATAGATTTAAATATAAATTAAAAACAAAAATAATAAAATAAAAAAATAAAATAAAATAAAAAAATAAAATAAAATAAAGTAAAACATAAAATAAAATAAAATAAAATAAAATAAAATAAAATAAAATAAAATAAAAAAAAATAAAATAAAAAAAAAAAAAAATAAATAAAATAAAATAAAGCATAAAATAAAATAAAATATAATATAAAGTAAAGCATAAAATAAAATATAATATAAAGTAAAGCATAAAATAAAATAAAATATAAAGTAAAGCATAAAATAAAATATCAATAAACTAAAATCTAAACAAGCCAGCACAGCTCAAAATCTTTTGATTGGCCACATTTTACTGCAACCTGAAGATTATCTACCCATAATTTTGGTTTTGGTTTCTTGATTAAATGTTCAATAATCAATCCGAGTACATTTTAGCAATGATTAAGCTATGAAAAAATAAAAAATTGTCCCAAAATATACAATGATTGATTGTTTATCCTTCCTGCAATCAGGGAACAATGGTGGCTCAGTGGTTAAGTCATCTTGGGTTCGCTCCCTGTTTTGGCCGAAAAAGTTTATGGCAGGGGAAAATGTATAGTTGTTTGAATGGGATGGAAATGACCCGAAGAAAACCCATGAGGTTGGACAGGCGACCCTACTCCTTGTCACGTACAACCGGGGATTCGAAACCATGCCAGTCGACTCAATGACAGACTTTATGATACAGCGCGCGCTCGCTAACCATTTAGCCATCCAACCCCCTAGAGCAGAACAGTAGGACATTAAACCCTGTTTCATTTCATTTCCTACCTGCAATGAACAACTAGAGGACCTCCACTATCTTCATATAATTTTCTGATTTCAATTGTAAATTTGACAAGAGAAATGGCTTCAGGTAAACCTTGCATTGGCCAACATGTGTACCAAATATGTTTTATCTCTCGAAATAAATTATTCTGAAAAAACAAAAATACCATATTAATTGATTAATTTTACACATTTATAATACAGGGCTCTTGTTTTAATTATTTTTACCAGTTCTGATTGACAGAATACGAGACTTAGTTGTCTGTTGAGTTGCATGCCATAAATTAAAGGACAATATTGGTGTCAGTCATGAGTCATTATCACATATGTGATAGAACTGGTTAAACAGTTCCAAATATAATTTTAACACAGAGATCATTGCTACGATAGATGCGTAATCAAGGTTTCTACAAAATGAAGTGACGAACACAAAAGGAAAACACGAGTTATCCTTCTTTATAATTGACTGAAGTGACGAGTGATAAGAGATATATGGGCGAATTTCTGTTCAATAACAATTCCTTCGAAGACCAATAGTTGTTATGTGAGACTGTGCGAGGATATCTGACGATTCAAAAAAGTAATTGAATGTCACTAGATAAGAGAACACGAGAAAAATAGAAACAGTCCGTACATTCACGTGTGTTTATTCATTCTATACTTAATAAAAACATGGTAATGCACAGACTTTTTCTATATTTTTTCGTTTTCCCTTTTCTAGTGGCAGTCAACCCGAGTTGTTGTGTAAAACAAGAGAGGTGTGTTAACTTACATCTATATCTTTAAGTTCTATTGTAGACATGATATATTCTTGTGTAACGTCTCTCTTCTTTAAAGTCACCGTAAATTCAGCATATTTAATCAATGTACCAAGACAGTCCGGCCAGTATTCAGCACATTTTGGCTACAAAAAACAGGATGAAGCTACATTTATTAAATGTGATATTAGTGCTATTAACATTAACATGATGTATTGCCAGGGTTAATTACTGATAGTGAACATATTTGAAAAGAGTTATTTCCCTTTTGTTGCTTTCTGACAAATATTTTGCACAGTGCTGAGTGAATTGAATGTTGCTGTGCAGAAATCCAATTTGACAGAGACAGAGAGTGGGGTTTAACATCCACTCTACTACACAAAGTAGGTCATTGTGCGTAGGGATCTTTAGCAGTGGCAGGATACCGGAGGACCCGCAGAAAACCCACGTACAATCGGGGAATCCAAACCACGCCAGTTGATTCATTAACAGACCTTATGATACAGTGCCCACATGCTAACCCTTCAGCCATCCATCCACCCGCCCCCCCCCCCCCCCGAAATCCAATTTCATCAACTACTTCCATATTCATCAACCCCTTGAACACATGTGACCATGGTGTTATAGTGCTCACGAATACGAGTGCAGTGACTGTCACTTATGTCTGGCCACTGGATGACCTGGCAACAGATGTTGGATTGACCAGTACTACAAGGTAGAATACTGGAGATAAACCAAGAAAGCAGCTACCAAGTTGTCTACCCACAGTGCAAGCTGTCAGTTCTCTGAGAGAGAGAGAGAGAGAGAGAGAGAGAGAGAGAGAGAGAGAGAGAGATGGGGTTTTACCTCCACTGGACACATGGTCATATGGTTCAATTCTATTTCTATAATTGGCTTGCGTCTAGGGGCTTTTAGCAGTGGGAGGAAACCAGAGGACCCGGAGAAAAGCCAAGAGGTTGGACAGGCGACCCTACTCCTTGTCACTTACAACCAGGGAATCGAAACCACGCCAGTTGATTCAATGACAGACCTTATGATACAACAGGCACATGCTCACCATTCGGCCATCCAAACCCCCTGTCAGTTTTCTGATTGTGACCTTCACTATAAAGCTGTTTATAGGTGTATGTGAGGTTGTGCGTCTGCTCACTTTATATTGTCACTGAGGACAGGAGAACAGCAGAAGTTGCAGGTGGATCAGAATAGAGATTATTTATATTTTAAAAATCGACTTACATGGCCATGTTCATCCATAGCTGTTAACATAACAATAACTCTAGACTGTTGTTCCCAGATCATTCTCCAGAAATCAGCTTTAGTATTAGCTAATGGTGCTTGTGTGGCTATATACGCCTTCGATTCATCAGGATAACCCTTCAATAACAAAATACATTTATATAATCTATAGCTTAAAGAAAGGCAGAGAGAAAAATTGGATTTAACGTCCACTCGACAGAAACTAGGTCACTTCGGGACTAACATATGGTTCAATTTTATTTCAACAATTTCGCTTGCGCGTAGGGGGTCTTTAGCAGTGGGAGGAAACCGGAGGACCGGGAGAAAACTCACGAGGTTGGACAGGCAACCCTACTCCTTGTCACATACAAAGACAGAATCGAAACCACACCAGTTGACTCAATAACATTATATAAGGCGCACATGCTAATCATTCGGCCATCCAACCCCCCCCCCCTCCCTCTTCATAGCTTACAACTAGCCTTGGATTTATTAGGATAACCCTTGAATAACACTTATATAAATTTATAACTAGCCTTGGATTTATCAGGATAAAATACCATTATTTAATTTATAGTTCATTAATAACCAGTCTAAGGAAGCTGGGAGTCGAGCCAGACTTTCTCAGTTAGTTTTACTTGTCTTTACTAAACTAGGATCTGGAAGAGTTGTTATCATTGACATGTTCTGGCTGATGTGAGGGATTAGCCAATGAAATGGTATGTTACAGCGAGCTTTTGGTCTTTTGGTGCATGGAACTGTGGGTAAACCACTAGAATGTCAACACTGATCGATTAATCAATGTCTGACATCATAGGGTCAAAAGACGCTCGTTTGACCCCTGAAGTAAACTCCCACTACATGTTGTGTAGGCCATCGAAAGTATAAAGAAACGAAACGAAATATAGATCTGTATTTTAATCAGATTGCCTGGGTTCACTAACCAGGAGAACTGGGGTTTGATCCTGGTGTTGGCTAAGAAAGATTTTCTCGGACTTTCCAGTGTGGTTTACCTTTGTCAGTGGATACAGGAAGGAGGGCCTGACAAGGACAGTGTCTAGTTATTCAGATGGGACGAAAAGAAACACCGAGATCCTGTGGATACATTGGCGTGTACTTAAAAGAACCCTTGATGGTTGGAATTTGAAATAAGAGGGGGCAGAAGTGGAAATGTCTAGGCAAAATCTCTCTGTTTATTATGTACTGTTCTCGGAGGATCACAGTGGCTAAATGGGTAAGATGCTGGCTCACTAGCCTGGAGGTTGGCTGTTCGATCCCTGCATTGGCTGAGAAAGTTTATCCAGATTTTCCGGCACGGTTCCACCTTGTTAGTGATGCAGGACGGAGGGCCTGACAAGGACAGCTGTCTAGTCATTCGGATGTGACAAAAAACCAAGGTCCCATGTACACATTGGCGTGCACGTAAAAGATCCCTTGACAGTTGGAATTCGATATAAGAGTAGGTCATAGTGCCACTGCCCGGGCAAAATTTATCTCATAGCACACTGTATGGCATATGCCCGTCTTCATTAGCCCAGTTCTGAGCAGAAAAGTAGGCTGTTCTCAACAAATATAATCTATACTCACTGTGACAAAGTTAGCGTTGATATAATCTGATGTAGCTTGACTTAATTTTCTCTTTAGGCTTACACGAGTTCTTGGTACTAAAAATAAATTGTATAAAAAGGATATCTTGAAATTCCATCTTCATTAGCCTATTCCGGACAGAACAGTAGGACGTTAAAATCCATTTCGTTTCAATTTCATTTCCTTTATATTGAAATTAAACATTTTTGGGGGAAAACAGAATGTTATTGATTTTAAGTCAACAAAGGGGCCATAAATCAGTTGAAAATAAATCAAATCCCACAAAATACTAAATATCAAGCAAAGTTTAATATTAAAAAAAAAAAAACAGAAAAGAAATTAAAATAGGGTTTAACATCCTACTTTTCTGCAACAGTCAAACAGATGGATGGTGACAGAACCTTAGTTGTCTTCTGTCTCACCTGTAGGTGACTACAAACAAGGCCCTTAGCCACTGTGTTATTTCTGGCCTTTTAACAATGATACAACCAACTGGAGTGATTTTCAACAATTCAAGCCGAATTCTTGCATTCAGAAGCAAATGTTATATATATAGCAAACACAGAAATGAAATGAAATGAAATAGGGTTGTCTTACTATTCTGCACCAACTGGACTAATGAAGACGAGCATATGCCATAAAGGGTTCTTTTACGTGCACGTCAAGGTGGACACAAATGACAATACATTGTCCATTGCCAGACCCTCTGTCCATGTAGCAAACACAGGAGAGGACAAAACACAGTTGTACATCCTGGAGAAGTCATTTCTTTCTCTCTATTTATAAACTTACTTGGAATAACATTAGCATATCTATTCTTATCTTCTGCTCCTGATGGTACAGTGGACAATCTTGGCATCTCATTCTTTATAGCCTGTAAGAATCAATAATACAGTAACTATCACAAAATCAATGGAGTTTAATGTGAGAGAGAGAGAAATGGGGGTTAACGTCCACTCGACACAAACTAGGTCATTTCGGGACTAACATATGGTTTAATTTTATTTCAATAATTCGCTTGCGCGTAGGGGTCTTTACCAGTGGGAGGAAACCGGAGGACCTGGAGAAAACCCACGAGGTTGGACAGGCGACCCAAATCTTTGTCACGTACAACCGGGGATTCGGAACCACGCGAGTTGACTCAATGACAGACTTTATGATACAGCGCGCGCACGCTAACCATTCAGCCATCCAACCCCCCGGAGTTTAATGTCCTACTGGGCTTATGAAGACGGGCATACGCCATATAGTACACAGGGTCTCTGTTTTTCAAGCAACTATTTGTTGTCCTTTGCCAGGTCTTTCGTTCTGCATGTAACTATCACAAGGTGTGCCTTTCATAACATAATGTTACTAAGCATTGGAAAAGACACGCACCTGCTATTTATGTCACATGCACGGGGCTTGAAATGAAGGAAAATGTTACTGCGTACCATTTGGTTTTTTAAATGCCCTAAGCACCTTCCAAAAGATGATAAATGTACTAACAATTGTTATTAATTTTGATGATCTTATAATTTACATAGTCTTTTTCTTGGCCAATGATAGGATTTGAACCTGTGACTTTCTAGTTAAATGTCCAGTTCCCGTAATGTTCAACTACTGCTGGTTCACATTGTGGACAGATGAGCCAGTAAACTTAACAAAAGATTATTCATAATAAATTAAAGATGTAGTGCAAAGCTATAGTGCCACTTACATAAAATTCCTCATAAATTGACTCTGGTTCAGAACACAGGTTAGCTAAACCAGCAAAATTAACAGGATTTGATAAGACTCCCTACAAAATAATAAAAATTTGGATAGAAACATACATTAATATTAATTTTCTATGGTGAATTGAGAGCAATCCTAAAGAAGAAAGCTGTCATATCTTTCGGTAAGTAAATGAAATAGGATTCTTCTGTTTTTGCACCAACAAATGATATGGAGTTTAACGTCCTACTCTTCTGCTCCAACTTGGCTAATGAAAACGGGACATTTTTCTTGGCCAATACTTGGAAAGATAGCAGGATTGCACCTTGCTTGCAGAGCCAGCACCACCATGGCTCCCCTTTAAAATAGAGAAATGAAATGAAATGGGGTTTAACGTCTTACTGTTCTGCTCCTATACTGGGCTAATGAAGACGGGCATACGCAATACAGTGTGCTATGAGGGAAATTTTGCTCGGGCAACCGGAGTACCCAGACAAAATCCACAAGGTTAGATAGGCGATCCTACTCCTTCTCACACCAGACCGGGGAATCAAAACCACGCCAGTTGACTCAATGCCAGACCATATGATACAACGTGAACGCGCTAACCATGTGGCCATCCCCCCCCCCCCAAACTTACAAGTAACTAATATTCCACATGTGTGTCATATATTATACTTACATTATTGTTGATGAATTTTTGTATATCTAAATCTAATGCTGGGTTGAAGAGGCCGCTGTTAGGTCGACTTTTTACTGATGCCAGGGCTATGGAATCATTACTTGCTACAGAAAACCTTCTCCTATTACTATGGCTGTGACTGTGATGGAGTGTACGGGTTTTGCGATATCGTCTCTTCATCATAAACTAAAATTATATAAATAAATATATATAAGAAAACTTTCAACCCAAACAACCAACGAGGATTCACTCAAATCGTAAAAGTTTGTACTCCGGGGGTCTTCTCAAGAGTCCTTTCTTTACTGCTTACTCTTCATTGTATCCCTACTCTCTAGTCACTACTACAGGTAGTGGGAACCGAGCCTGAAAAATCCTATTGTTCTTCTCTGCCCAAACTTTGAACCTCGGTTTTTCGTCCCATCAAAATGACTAAACAGCTGTCCTTGTCAAGCCCTCCATCCAGCACCACTGATAAGTGGAAACCATGTCGGAAAATCCTGATTAACTTTCTCTGCCAATGCAGGGATAGAACACACAACCTCCAGGCTAGCGAGCGAGTGTCTTACCCACCGTGGCTCTCCTATTTATAGAGAGAGAGAGAAATGGGGTTTAACGTCCACTCGACACAAACTAGGTCATTTTGGGACTAACACATGGTTCAATTTTATTTCTATAATTCAGTTGCTCATATGAGTCTTTGGGAGGAAACCAGAGGAACCAGAGAAACCCACAAGGTTGGACAGACGACCCTACTCCTTGTCACGTGCAACCGGGGAATCGAAACGCTGCCAGTTGATTCAATGACAAATCTTATGGCACAGCGCGCACGTGCTAACCATTGGGCCATCCAACCCCCCTATTTATATAGAAGATAGATTATAGTTACCTGTAATACTATAACCGCTATACAACAGATACCACCAACTGAAGCTATAGTTATAGCAACAGTAACACCAGATATATCTTCAGATTCTGCATTAGGGTCAGCTGTAGCAATAATATTAGATCGACTCTCATCTTTTGTATTTAAGGTTACTCTCACCAACTTAAATAAAATCCAAACGCAAAATATAATAATGACACGATAATATTCTTATAGTTCGGGTTATAATTGAGAGAGGTGCCACCCGGCAAGCCTGGAAATAAGGCACCTGTCACAGACAATGTTAGGCACAGATTCAGGCTTTGTCAGGCACAAAACCTCTGGTGCCTGTCATTTTGTCCGGCACCGATTTGTCTTTTCTATTGATATTATTAATACATGTCCGGCACTAAGTTGAAAATGTCAGGTGCTATTTCATTAGTGTCTGACATTTTTGTCAGGTACATCTAAAACTGTTATTTCCAGATCTGCACCTGGAGAGGAAGAAATTGTCATGTGGTTTCTCTAGACCAGTTCTGTATTCTGAACAAGAATATATGAGGTAAAGAGGCTGTATTCCGAACCTTTTTCCGTGAGGGCGCTTTTTTCAAAATGGCCACCAAAATCTCATATATAGTGACTATGTGGGTTAAATAAGTAACAATGATGCACGTTTGACCACTTTTTGATTTATTTTTTTTTAAAGTTATTCCCAAACAAGCTACGATTGTATTCCAGACTGTAGAAAGCAATGAAAAGTGAGGGCGCTCTTCAAAATGGCCACAAAAATCATAGATAAACTGTATATATTTATTAATAAGCATTTATTAGGCCATGCAATGCTCACATTTTTGTATTATTTGTGATTAGAGTTATTGCATAAAAACTGTGACCTCTAGAGGATCTACAAGCTAAAAACGTGATTTTTCACACCATCAAGTGTCATTATCTAGGAAGTGATGGTCCAATATGCGCTAATGTTGAAACGGACCGATATCTTTGGGCTATAAACATACATTTTTAGTTTCATCAAAATTGGACAAAAATTGTGACCTCTACAGCAGCCACAAGCTAAGAACAAGACTTTTCGTACAATCAGAGGCCATAATCCAACAAGTTACAGTCCGATACATGCCAATATCAAAATGAACCGAGATCTTTGGGATATATACCTATATTTCAAGTTTTGTCAAAATTAGATAAATGGGGTTTAACGTTCACGCGACACAACTAGGACATTTTGGGACTAACATATGGTTTAATTTTATTGCCATAATTAATTCACTTGTGCATAGGGGTCTTTAGCAGTGGGAGGAAACCGGAGGACCCGGAGAAAACCCACGAGGTTGGACAAGCGACCCTACTCCTTGTCACGTACAACCGGGGATTCGAAACCACGCCGGTCGACTCAATGACAGACTTTATGATACAGTGCGCGCACGCTAACCATTCAGCCATCCAACCCCCCTGGCATATAAAAAGATAAGATAATGTTCCATGACATACGAACCTTGTCCTTAAAGAAAGATTCATCCCTGAATCCAGTTTGAAAATACTGAGCACAATCAACGGTCAACGAACTATCGTACTGGCCATCATAATCCACTATATACAGACGAACATAGATATACTCCTCCTCAGCTACAGACCAAGGTTCAACACAATAATTGATCTCTTCATTCATAATCTTAACCTGCTCTTCGTTAAAACTATCTTTATAATTGGCTTCTAATATATCTACCACTTCATGCTGAAAGGTCTGGTAGTTCACACAAAACATTGACCAAGACATACGAAATCGTACTGTCACAAACACAGGAGGTAGGCTTTTAAAAGTGGTGGAAGCTGATGGTAGCACTGAAGATTGCAATAGAGGAGAGCTTGGAGTAGTCACAGGATGTTGCTCTCCAGGAGGTGTACTAACAGTTGATGCAGGAGAAGCACTAGAAACATTGTTGATGGTTGATCCCGAGACTGTCTCATGAACTGTTATGTTTTGATTTATAAATGTTGTTGGTGATTGCGTGGTATTGGAGCCGTTATTAACCGTCGAAGTTAAAATACTCAGCAATGTTGTTGTACTACCTAACTTTTTCTTGGTTGTGGAAATTGTAGAAGTTAAATTTATCTCAGTTGTGTATGGTTTCTGAGTGCTAGTTGACGAACTGAGGGCTCCCTTTGTTGTGGTTCCCATAAAACCAATATGTATAGTTGTTCTCCTGGTGGTTGTCCTATTGTTGGCGGACCAGTTATGATGGATCTTCCGGGTAACATATGATGTTGTCGTTGGAACAGCATTTGTCGATGACACAGGATTTGTTGATGATACCGAATTTGTAGTTGTGGCTGATGCTCCAGCAGTAGGGGTAAATGTAAGGTGTGTTCTCTGTTTAATTTTGTGTTTATCATGTCTTTTTGTACTTCCTATTATTGTGGAGGGTTGTGTCGTGTTTTCATTTGTAGAATTAGTTGTTGGCATTAAACTGGTTGTAGTGGGTATGGTTGTTGCAGATGTAGGAGTCGATTCTTCTGATTGTACTGATATCAAATTCGTAGACGTAGTTGATGGAAATGGCGTGGTTGTGGAGGCATGTGATGTTGTAATTGGTCTCATGGTTTCCGGAATGGTATTATTTGTGGTTGGCAGAGATGTGGTTGAAGATGTTGTGGGCCTTGTGGTTGAGGATGCTGTTGTGGGTGTTGAAGCTGTTCCCGTAGTTGGCCTAGACGAGAAGCTTGTCTGAGAGGTTGAAGATGGTTGAGCTGCTGTTGGTGCTCTTTCTGTTGTGCCCTGTGTGTTCCGTTCCTCTGTAATTGGAACCAGTATATCTGAATCTCTTCTCACCGTAGTTTCCATGGGTGTAGCTGGAGATGTTGAGTTTGTAATTAATGGAAATAAAGTAAGAACTTCAGGAGTAATTGTGGTCAATCTGTTCAATGCTTGTACTGTAGGCAAAACAATTTGTGGTGTGGGTAAATCTGTGACTCTGTTAACAGTTGTGTTGTTTTTAGGAAAGAGAGTCATCCATATCCTTGATGTTGATGCCGTAACATGTGGTGTGGTAGAACTGGATCTCGCCATGGTGGGAACAGATTCTGGGATTCTATGTTCTGGTAAAATTAGTCCTGGACTTTGAGTAGGCAATGGAACTATTTCTGTGGTGGTTGTAGGGAATATTTGGGATACAGATACTAGAAGCAAATTAGGAACAGGAGAACTATTGATTTTGCCCAATGTGGATGAAGCTGCAAGCTGACCAGACCTGATTAACAAGCACAACAAATCGCAGGTGGCTGTTGTATGTGGCCTGGGGTAAACCAACGTTGGAAAGAGGCTTCCTGCAGATTGAAAAGATACTGATGTTTCTGAGGACTGCAGCAGAGGCTTGATAGCAGTTGAACTTGTTTGTTCATTGTGATGAGATGTAGGGATGGTTGAAAGTGGTGTAGTGCTACTTCCTGCAACACCTGCTGTCCTTTCTAGAGATAAATGATCTGGGAAGCTTGTATGAAGTTGTGGAGTTTCTGAATGATGATCACCCACATTTGGTTCTAGCTGGGTTTCGTTGTTTGTGGGTAAAGTTGGTGGTGTGGCTGGTGCTATTGCTTGTAAACCAACTGTTGGGTTTGGATTGATGACTTCAGGATGTTCGTGTTGAAAAGAGGGAGCATGATGAACAGTGTTAGGATTATGTTCATGTAGTGGTTCTTGTTCATTATTAATGTTTTCATTTCCTTCTAAAATTATAAAGAAAAGTGCATATTTGCTTTTATAGTCTGTGAGAGTATTTTTTAGATGAAATATGCTCACAAGATAATTTAAGATCATTTCATATTAGAGAGAGACACAAACAAGGTCATTTCGGGACTAACATATGGTTCAATTTTATTTCAATAATTCGCTTGCGCGTAGGGGTCTTTAGCAGTGGGAGGAAACCTGAGAAAACCCTTGAGGTTGGACAGGCGACTCTACTCCTTGACACTTACAACCAGGGAATCAATGACAGAGCTTATGATGCAGAGCGCACACGCTAACCATTCAGCCATCCACCCCCACCCCCCATGTCATATTAGAGAAATGTTTCTACCATTATCAGACTGTCATTAATTATCAAAATTTATCAGTAAGGATCAATCTAATTAATGTTGAACAGTCCCCACTATACTCAAATGATGAGTTGCAAACCAATCTGATTAAAGCACAGATCCTATTTCATTTCGTTTTTTATAGTTCAAAATTTAGTTTTACTTGTCGTTACTACACTAGGATCTGGAAGAGTTGTTATATAACCAGAACCTGCAATCTAGATGGTGTAAGGAATTAGCCAATGAAACCATCTGTTACAGCGACTTCTTGCCGTGCGCTGCACGGAACTGTGGGTAAACCAATAGAAACATCAACACAGATTGATTAATCAATGTCTGACGTCATAGGGTCAAAAGCCTTTCGTACGACCTATGACACAACCTTTTACTACAACCAATCAGATCTTCATGTAGTGTAGGCCATCAAAAGTATAAACAAGCCAACAGTGAGGCTGATGTCCCCCGCCGAAATTGCAAAATAAATAGATGACACATATTAATTAATCGCACATTTATTTTTTTCACTAAGTTTCATCACTCTCTATCAGATAGAATCAAGATTATGTTGTCCCAAACCATCGACAAATGAAATCGATTAGCTCTGCTTAGCTTCAGCTCGAAATGTTAATTATTGAACTCAGTCAAGACATTCACCTAATGAACATCTACATATACATCAAGTTTAAACATTCACCTAATAGACACCTATGCCAAGTTTGAACATTCTACCTCAATTAGAAGGAGAGTTATTGTGTTCCAAAGTTTCTACCAATCAAATTGCTTATCACTCTGCTTACCCTCAGCAAAAAATGTTCATTATCGAACTTAGTTAAGGTATTCATATAATAAATCTATACACCAAGTTTCATCAATCTCACTTAATTAGAACTAAAGTTATCGTGTCCCAAAGCATCAACCAATCAAATTGCTTATCTCTGCTTACCCTAAGCGGAAAATGCTCATCTTCGAACTCCATCAAGGCATTGACCTAATCAACACATACACCAAGTTTGAACATTCTAGCTCAATTAGGAAGAGAGTTATCGTGCCCCAAAGTATCAACCAATCAAATTGCTTATCTCTGCTTACCCTAAGCGGAAAATGCTCATCTTCGAACTCCATCAAGGCATTGACCTAATAAACACATACACCAAGTTTGAACATTCTAGCTCAATTAAAAGTTATCGTGTCCCAAAGCATCAACCAATCAAATTGCTTATCTCTGCTTACCCTAAGCGGAAAATGCTCATCTTCGAACTCCATCAAGGCATTGACCTAATCAACACATACACCAAGTTTGAACATTCTAGCCCAATTAGGAAGAGAGTTATCGTGTCCCAAAGCATCAACCAATCAAATTGCTTATCTCTGCTTACCCTAAGCGGAAAATGCTCATCTTCGAACTCCATCAAGGCATTGACCTAATAAACACATACACCAAGTTTGAACATTCTAGCTCAATTAGGAAGAGAGTTATTGTGTCCCAAAAAGTGTGACGGACAGACAGACGGACGGACAGACAGACAGACAGACAGACAGACAGACAGACAGACAGACAGACAGACAGACAGACAGACAGACGGACGAACCCATTTTAATAGTCCCCTGCTTTCTTCGAAAGGCGGGGGACAAAAAAATGAAACGAAATATAGAGACAGAGAGAGAAATGGGGTTTAACGTCCACTCGACACAAATTAGGTCATTTCGGGACTAACATATGGTTTAATTTTATTTACATAATTCGCTTGCGCGTAGGGGTCTTTAGCAGTGGGAGGAAACCGGTGGACCCGGAGAAAACCCACGAGGTTGGACAGGCGACCCTACTCCTTGCCACGTACAACCGGGGATTCGAAACCATGCCAGTCGACTCAATGACAGACTTTATGATACAGCGCGCGCACGCTAACCATTCAGCCATCCAACCCCCCGAAACGAAATATAGATCTGTATTTTAATCACATTGGTTGCAAACAGACTATACATTTCTGATTAATCAACAGATTAGATGTTGCCCAGAATTCCCCGATAACTAACCATTACCTGGTGCTGTTGGGGCTAAAAACCTCTGTGAGAGTATTACCTGTATGATGTTGATCTAATTGGTAACCTGCAGGTATATTATCTGGTTGTAAACTATTGGTCCCCAATAACCTGGGCTCTATTATTGATACACAATCTTCTACTTTACTTAATATAACACCTGGGGAAAATATATACAAATATACATCATTAGTTATACACTCTATAATACAAACGGATGCACAGAATCAGTACTATATTCATCTAATACATTTAAAAATGGGGTTGTAAAATCAATAGAATTAAAATGGGGTTTAACTCCGAATGGGCTAATGATGAAGATGGACATACGCCATTCAGTGCGCTACAAATGAAATTTTTCCCAGAGAGAGAGAGAGAGAGAGAGAGAGAGATGCGACTAACGCAACACAAACTAGGTCATTTTGTGACTAACATGGTTCAATTTTATTTCAATAATTCGCTTGCGCGTAGGGGCTATTGCAGTGGAAGGAAACTGGAGGACCTGGATAAAACCCATGAGGTTGGACAGACAACTGGGGAATTGAAACTGCGCCAGTTGACTCAATGACAGACCTTAATATGCAGCAAGCACGCGTTAACGATTCTGCCATCTAATGGTGGTTATAAAGGGAAGGGGGCTAATTTATATTATTTAACAGAATATAAATCCTAACATACCTAAGATTATCAAAATATTCCAAATGCTCATCTTTATCCGATTAAATACTGATCCGTTTACATGTGGGATTTCTGATCTGGTCTGGTCTTCAAGTTGTAGCGTTGTTTTCTTCTGTCGCCATTAATCTCCATTTGTAGCAGCGTGATATATACTTCCCTCTAACTGGCGTCACAAACCAACAAACTGAAAATAAAAATAAGTTAATTGGTGATACTCGATCATCGACTGTGACCAACAAGGATTCAATTACTACATTAACGTCAAGATCCATGTAATATGACCCTACTTGTAATACAGACGACCATACTTGTATACAGACGACCAAGGTTTCTAGTTTATTTAATTGCAGGCGAGTTTAATTAACTGACCTTGAAATCATCAGACAGAGAGAGAGAGAGAGAGAGAGAGAGAGAGATCCACTTGACACAAAGTAGGTAATTTCAGGACTAACATATGATTAAATTTTATTTCAATAATTCACATGCACGTAGGGTTCTAAAGTTGTGGGAGTAAACCAAGAGAGAAAATTCACAAGATTGAACAGATGACTCTTCTCCTTGTCACGTACAAGTTGGGAGTCAAAACCACCTACTTGCCTCAATGACAGACCTTATGATACAACGCACACATGTTAAACCAATTGACTACCCAATAAACATTCTTAGAAATGGGGTTCTGCTCCGACTGGGATAATGAAGATGACATACGTAAATCAGTGCGCTATTATGAGGGAAATTGTGCCCGGACAGCTGCACCACGGTCTACTCTTATATCAAATTCAAACTGCAAGAGATCTGTTATGTGTACGTCAATGTGTACATGGGACCTCAGTTTTTCATTTCATCAGAACAACTAGACAGCTGTCCTCGTCAGACCCTCCGTCCTGCATCACTAACAAATGGAAACAACGCCGGAAATACTCTGAGAGCATGCTTGAAGCAGTACATGTTTCTTACCAACCCCAACATACCTATAGATAGAAAACATTATATAAAATTTAATCTTCACTAAATTGGTCTTTAACTCTCCTATGTAAAACAGTTTACTTATGCGAATGAAATCGTGGTTTTAATTGTAGAGTAATCATGGTGATCCTATCAGGTCTTATCATATATTGAGGTCGGTGTTGAATGGATCGTGGACTCAACAAGGACAATCCTATCGTAACACATCGCACAACAGTGGGAATCTGGCATTAATTTCAATCAAGCAAATAAAAGCTAAACCTGAATTTTTTCCGGAAAACAGAAATTTCATTGATATGAGGTCAATAAAGGGCCGTAATTTACAGATACAGCAGTTAAAAGAGAAACTTACACATTACATGTTAGAATAAAATCCTTTTCTGGTAAATTTGTGATCTCTCACTTCAGTGCTCCATTATAACACAACGAGTACTAGATATGATATTAGGAGTGGATATTATTATTAATACATGTGTATTTATAAAATATGTAGCATACAGTACTTCCTGTAATAATATATCTGCTTAGAGAATCTTAAGTAGAAAAACTTGACTTACCCACATAGGATACATGTATTAAAGTAACGGTACATGATTTACATTTTGTCATAAAATTATCTCATTTTTCATGGATTAATAATCCATTATATTTTAACAGATTCATGGTTTAACATTTAATTCAAAATACAATGCTAGATAACCTCCTGGCTTGGATTCAATGTGGGTCCTGTTTAACAAAATTTTAACTAAGATAAAATCCAAATTTTAGTAATTTGATTGGATAATATCAGATTGATTTTAGTGCTTAGCCAATCAAAGTAGCTACTAAAATTTGGATTTTATCTTTTGTTAAGATTTCGAGAAACATGGCCCTGAGCTTTAGATGGTTGCATATGGAATGAAATGGGGTTTAACAACTGGCCTGGTTTCGATTCCCCGGTTGTACGTGACAAGGAGTAGGGTCGCCTGTCCAACCTCATGGGTTTTCTCCAGTTCCTCTGGTTTCCTTCCACTGCTAAAGACCCCTACGCACAAGCGAATTATTGAAATAAAATTGAACCATGTGTTAGTCCCGAAATGACCTAGTTTGTGTCGAGTGGACGTTCAACCCCATTTCCCTCTCTTTATGAGCACACCAATGTGTAAACGGGCTCTTGGTTTTTTGTACCATTGGAATGACTAGACACTGTCCTTGCCAGGGCCTCTGTCCTGCACCACTGACAAGGGGAAACCAAGCTAGAAAATCCTTGGGAACTTTCTTGACCAACACCAGGATTGAACCCCAGACCTGGTTAGTAAACCAGTGTCTTACTCACCGAGCCACCGCAGCTCACTGGTTGCATATTTACAAGCATTTACTTTCCTGGCCACTGTTCAAAAATTATCATTATATATCAATAATCAATTGGATTGTTTATTTTTTAACAGTGTTCGAGAAATTAAACGTTTGTAAATTGGACACTCATTATCAAAATTGAAGGTCAGCTTAAACTAGACACAAGTACAAATTAGATGATTTTGGGCAATTTTAAATGATTTTTACTAATTTCAAAACAATGATTTGATATTAAACGAATGTGAAAAAAAATTAGTGCTAGATACACAAGATTAAATGATTTTTGGTGATTTTTGGTGATTTTAAACGATTTTTACAAATTCCAAAACAAAGATTTGATTGATATTAAACGAGTGTGAAAGAAATTAGTGCTGGATACACAAGATTAAATGATACCCAGGTTACAGTGTGTACAACTGTATCAAATTACACAAACAGTTTAAACATGATAAGAGAATATTTTACACACTATTGTGTTTTAGTTTCTGTCAACACTTGAGACGAGGTAATCCTGGGGTATAGTTTATCTATTAAAACCTGATAATTAATTTAAACATATACCATCTGACATATAAACACACTTATATACACCATGAGATAACTGTATGGTTGTCTATATCATCCACCAATCAAAATGTACTGGAGAATTTTGAAAATCGACCCATTTGCTGGGGGGGTGTGATGGCCTAGTGGTCTAGAGTGTCTCGCTTTGACCTCTAGCTGGCGAGTCACCTCTGGCTTGCCGTTGTGGTTTTGATCCCTGGTGTGAGTGTATGTGACTTGGAGATAAGAGCGCCTATCCAAACCTTGTGGGTTTACTCCGGGTACTCCAGTTTTACTAGCACAGCAAAGACCCTTGCGCGTGACCTAAGATAATAAGAAAATGACAACTTGTCTGCGATATCACCCTCGGTGGAAGCAGATGTTAAACTTAAAATCTCAGTTAAGTCTAAATATTAAGGTCACCCGCAGATTTCGTCAAGCTCATGAGATGTAAACAGGGCTAGTACTGGGGGGTGGTTAAGGTGTGTGTGTGTTGCATCATAAGGTCTGTCATTAAGTCAAGTGGAATGGTTTTGATCCCCCTCCCACTCTCTCTCTCTCTCTCTTTCTCTCTCTCTCTTTCTCTCTCTCACTCTTTCTCCTCTCAGAGTGTGGATTAACACATGAAAAAATACATATTTCTCAAAAATGAACAGGGGGACCACACTACAGAGCAAAACAAATCTGAGAGGACAAACCTGTGGACAAGACACAAACTACACAGATGTTGCAAGAAATAAACAAACATATCAAATCAAGTGAATGAATCCATCAGTGTAAGTAATATTTCTGTCCCTCTGTCTGCCTTCCCCAACCCACTCTCTTCATACCATATTTTGCAATTCATGTGTACACTACAGAAATGATAAAATGAAATGAAATGGTGTTTAATGTCCTAAAGTTCTGCTCTGACTTAGCTAATGAAGATGGGCATACGCCATACAGTGTGCTATAAGAGAAATTTTGCCTGTTTCGTGACACTGAAAACGGTTCTCCGTCAACATAGGGATCGAGAGAGAGAGAAATGGGGTTTAACGTCCACTCAACACAAACTAGGTCACCGTGGGACTAACATATGGTTTAATTTTATTTCAATAATTCGCTTGCGCGTAGGGGTTTTTAGCAGTGGGAGGAAACCGGAGGACCCGGAGAAAACCCACGGGGTTGGCATAGGGATCGAACACAGGACCATTAGGTTAACGATCCAATGTCGTTCTCACCGAGTCAACCTGACTCCTGCGTACACTACAAAGGAGAATAACCAGATTGATAATATGTAAATAAGTAAGTCAATATATAAATATCTAATATCAATTGTTTTAAAAACTATCTTGATATAAAAATAAAATGATAACAGGTACAGTTAATACACAATAAACCATATGCATCTAATATCAATTGTTTCGATACCTCGCTTGTACACCACAAGGAGTATAGGGTCACCTGTCCAACCTCGTGGGTTTACTATGGGTTTCCTCCCACTTATAAAGATTCCTTTACGTAAAAGAATTATTGAAATAAAATAGTCGAGAAATGACCTAGTTTGTGTTGAGTGGAGAGATAGAGAGAGAGAGAGAGAGAGAGAGAGAGAGAGAGAGAGAGAGGGGGTTAATATCCACTGGACACAAACTAGGTCATTTCAGGACTAACACATGGTTCAATTTTATTTCAATAATTCGCTTGTGCATAGGGGTCTTTAGCAGCGCGAGGAAAACAGAGGACCTGGAGAAAACCCACGAGGTTGGACAGGCATCCCTACTCCTTGTCACGTACAACCGAGGAATCGAAACCACACCAGTTGACTCAATGACAGACCTTACGATACAGCGCGCACATGCTAACCATTTGGCCATCCAAACCCTCCCCCCCCAATGTGTTGAGTCACTCAACTTGAGTGGACATTAAACCCAATTTCAATGTCTCTCAACTGTTATTCATGGTTTCCCCTTGTCAGTGATGCAGGAAGGAGGGCCTGACAAGGACAGCTGTCTAGTCGTGCGGATGGGACGAAAAACCAAGGCCCGTGTACACACTGGCGTGCACGTAAAAGATCCCTTGGCAGTTGGAATTCGATATAAGAGTAGGCCGTAGTGCCGCTGCCCAGGCAAAATTTCCCTCATAGCACACTGTATGACGTATGCCCGTCTTCATTAGCCCAGTTTAGGAGCAGAACAGTAGGACGTTAAACCTCATTTCATTTCATTTCTCAACTGTTATTCAATATATCTTGATATAAAAACACATTAAACCACTACGTTTACATCGTGATAAACAAGAGAATTAAAATTTAAGGTACTAAGATACAGGAAATAGTACTTACATGGTTTAAGTGATCTATCC